GCAAAACTCCGTCTCAAGAAAAAAGAAAAAAAAAAAAAAAAAAACCCACGCAAAGTGTCCTGCATAGGAATAGTTTTCTCCTGGCCTCGGAGTACAACTTGCCATAGCCTTACTGTGGGCTGCTATAGCAGGGAGCCCAGTTATACCAGGCGTAGAAAGCAGTGGTGCCCAAGGGTATGGCACTCAACGTCTCTGTCTATAAACTGGTGCTCTGATCGCATGGGGACTGTGGAAATGGAGGGGCTCTATGGTTATCGTTGGGGCCTAAGATCTGCGCTGTCTCTTCTGCTGCTGCATTTGACTCCTTAGGCTACAGGTTCATTTTCCTGACAACAGCAGTCACAAACAGTGCTCGTCTTATGGAGGCTATGAGTGAGGTGAAAGCCTGATGTTTTTCCCGGCCAGTATTGTCATCTTCCCTGAACACATTCCTCAGTGGGAGGCAGGCATCTGGCACCCAGCTGTTATAACCAAGTGTCTACCAACTACCTGCTACGAGCCGGGAGCATGGAACGGGTTGGGATTTAGAGAACATATCTGAGAAGAGAGTTCACTTCCTGCTCCCAGGATATTTCTCTTTTCTGTTTATGAAGTACAACCCATGCTGCTAAGATACAAGCAGGAAGAGGTATCCTTTGTTAAATCCTGTTTGAATATCATTGTAAATAAAGCCTCTGCTCTCAGATGTAATATGTTTGTTGTTCTGTACACGTACTTCCATCTTTATTAGTGAAAGCCCACTGGAGCTTTCTACAGGGGCTTCCTATGCTTCTTGGCCTGGACTTTATAGTGGCCTGATCTGGTTCTTCCCTGTAAAAGTCACTCGACCATTCTGTACCTGAGTTTCCTCAACCATAAAATGAGGGGGATGGATGAGGTGACCAGCAAGCACGTTTCCAATTCTAAAATGTTGTGATTCATTACATTTTTGAGAAAATGACTTTGTTGTTTTAACTTAAGGAGGCACTTCAATTTTAAGCATTTTGTTTCTTACTGCAGAATGAAAGATTGTGTGCCATTAGAGCCATTTCAGGCATCAGCAAACGGTGCTCCTATAAATGTACCAGCACCCTCCTCATTGCTGATGCTAGTAGCCTTTCTCCTTCTCTCTTTACCTTTCAAAAATGATGAAATATAGGCCAGGTGCTGTGGCTCATGCCTGTAATCACTGTACTTTTGGAGGCCAAGGCAAGAGGAAAGCTTGAACCCCAGAGTTTGAGACCAGCCTGGATAACATGGCAAGACCCCATCTCTACAAAAAATAAAGAAATTAGCTGAGGGTGGTGGCACATGCCTGTATTCCTAGCTACTGGGGAGGCTGAGGTGGGAGGATCCCTTGAGCCCAGGAGGTTGAGGCTGCAGTAAACTGTGACCCTCTCTCAAAAAAGAAAAGAAAAAAGAAGGAATTACAACCACCTGTGTTAGTGGCCACTTTTCAGGCCTCTTCCAACTTGATCCCACTGATGACTACACTTTCCTTGAAATTGTCATATTCAGCTTCCATAATACCCTTTCTTTGTCCTCCCACAATCTCTTAGGTTGTTCTTTGATCCCATTTGCTGACATCTCCCCTCTCTCTGTCCTTTGTTGTCATCCACTTCCAGATCTCAAGCTTTCATCTCACTCCACACAAGTATGTCCTACCTGGTCATTCCACAGGCACTTCAAACTCAGCATGTACAAAATAAACTCATGAGTGGAAGCTCTTGTCCCTACTTGAATCCTTTAATCTGCTCTTCTTCCTGTATTCCCAAACTTTGTTCAAATGAGCAAAAAGTTGTATTCTTGGCCTCAGATTTTTTCTTTCTATGCCCCACCTTCAGCTGGTTCCCTTGTCCTATTGGTTCTTATTTCTAAATGCCTCTAGTTCATCTTCTCCTCACCATCCCTATGATAGAGGTCTTTATTGTCTCTTGCCTGGGTTTTTGTAAGAGTGTCCCTCCCAGCTGCTCATCCTCCCATCTGTTCCCCATTCCACAGTGCTGCCACTTACTAAGAGGAAGAAAGAAAATCAAAACCTGAGTTACTAGATCATCAAAAGTATTCTTCCTATAGAATAAGGATCATTCTGGGTCCGGCGCAGTGGCTCACACCTGTAATCCTAGCACTTTGGGAGGCCGAGGCAGGCAGATCACTTGAGGTCAGGAGTTCAAGACCAGCCTGGCCAACGGTGAAACTCTGTCTCTACTAAAATATAAAAATTAGCCGGCTGTGGAGGTGCGCACCTGTAGTCCCAGCTACTCGGGAGGCTGAGGCGGGAGAATCACTTGAACCCAGGAGGCAGACGTTGCAGTGAGCCGAGATGGTGCCACTGGACTCCAGCCTGGGCAAAAGAGCAAGACTGTCTCAATAAATAAATAAGTAAATAAAAATAATGATAATTCTTTTTTTTTTTTTTTTTTTTTTTTGAGACGGAGTCTCGCTGTGTCTCCCAGGCTGGAGTGCAGTGGCGTGATCTCGGCTCACTGCAAGCTCCGCCTCCCGGGTTCACGCCATTCTCCCGCCTCAGCCTCCCAAGTAGCTGAGACTACAGGCGCCCGCCACCACGCCCGGCTAGTTTTTTGTATTTTTAGTAGAGACGGGGTTTCACCATGTTAGCCAGGATAGTCTCGATCTCCTGACCTCGTGATCCACCCGCCTCGGCCTCCCAAAGTGCTGGGATTACAGGCTTGAGCCACCGCGCCCGGCCAGATAATTCTGTATAAGAATACATTCCAAGGAAAAGGCATTCCTCAAGCATCTAGCTAGAATTTTGAGTGTTATTTCAAGCTAGTGTGCAAGACCAAAGACACTGCCAACAGGGCTGTTGTTCGCAGAAAGAATAGGTGGCATCAGAAAAAGATTAAACAGTGGCAAAACATTGCCCTTCCATCAAGTAGAAATATATGACCCTGTAATAGGGGTTTTTTTTATTTGTTTGTTTTTTGAGAAAGGGTCTTGCTTTGTCATCCAGGCTGGAGTACAGTGGCATGATCATGCCTCACTGCAGCCTTGACCTCCTGGGCTCAAGTGATCCTCCCACCTCAGCCTCCCAAGTAGCTGGGACTAGAGGCTCATACTACCACACCTGGCTAATTTTTGTATTTTTTATAGAGACAGGGTTTTGCCACACTGCCCAGGCTAAGGTCATATATTATAAACACCTATTACACAGTGTTTTACATGCAGCGTTTATGCTTTGAATGGATATCTTTGCGTCAGTTCTGTGACTTTGTTAGCCTCAGCACCTCAGTGTAAAGGACGAGAGAAAAATTGTCTTATCTCTGGATACTTAATAATGCTGGCCCTAAGAACATGTATGAAGATCACAAATTTGTGAAGCTTTCTGAAAAGCTCTCCTGTTAATTTAACCAACAAAGAATGCAAGTAAATTTTAAAAGTGGTGCTGCCATCCACTCTATTAGTGGTATCAATGTTAATCAACAGAGTGCAAGGAAATTGAAAAAGTGGTGCCTGTCCTCCACTGAGTTTGTGCTGTGAATATCTGGCATGCTGCTGATAGGTTAAAAAGAACATTGAAGCCAGGCGCGGTGGCTCACGCCTGTAATCCCAGCACTGGGAGGCCGAGGCCGGCGGATCACCTGAGGTCAGGAGTTCAAGACCAGCCTGGCCAACATGGCAAAACCCCATCTCTACTGAAAATACAAAAAAATTATCCAGGCATGGTGGTGTGTGCCTGTAGTCCCAGCTACTTGGGAAGCTGAGGCACAAGAACCGGGTGGCAGACGTGCAGTGAGCCGAGATTGGGCCACTGCACTTCAGCCTGGGTGACAGAGCAAGACTCCATCGCAATTAAAAAAAATAAAAAGAAGAACATTGAAAGCAGCAATGAAGTTTTTCTGAAAATAAGAAAAATATGGTTCTGAAGGTGAAGCAAACAAGCATCCTTTACCTTTAGGGAAAAGGCATATGAACGTAAGTTACAGTTGGCCAGTAAACACGAAAAATGTGCAATTTCAGTTATAATCAAGTGCCAAACAAGGAAATGCCAGTATTATTATTTTACCTACAAAATGAGCAAAGATGTTTAAAAGTATGATAGAATTCAGCCCTGCTGAGGGTAACAAAAGGAGGGTACTTTTCCGGTGAGGCTTTGTGCAGAGGGCAAATTAATAAAGGGAGCATTCAGTAATTACACCTCTAGGAATCAGCCATACGAAAATGCAGGATGCAAAGATTTATGTATGAAGATATTCAGTCCAGCCTTATATTTTGAATTATCTAAATATCAATAGCAGAATGGGCGAGATAGCTACACACCAGGATATTATGCCACCATGAATCACTGGGAAAAAAAATGTGATATATAAGCATTTAGGGATGTAACATGTTCATCGAGGAAAGGAGGCTACAAAAGTACTTTGATGTTTATTTTGAGTTTTAAATTTTTCATGTAACAATTTAGAAACTAATTTGAAAGAAAACCACACCTAGGTGATCTGCATTTATTCACCAATCAGGTGAGTTGGGCAAATCATTCAAATCTTTTTGAGTTTCCTCTGCAATGGTGACAATACTTGCCATAACAGGATTGTGGAGGTTAAATAGGATAACTAGCGTTGAAAGGTTCCAGGCCCATGAGCAGGGCTCAATGTTCCTTCCCTTCCCCTTAGTGTACGGCTTCCTACATCTGGGGAGAAGTCCCACCAAAGATCGGTTCCAAGGTTCGCTTCTTGGATGAGCAAGGGAAACTAGGCTCTAACTTTCCTATTCCTCCCCGCTCCCGGTCCCGGCAGCCGGGACTCAGGGAAGCCGGAAAGCCGCGGTGCTCTCAACTCCTTCCCCGCCCGCGCACTTCGAAGACAAACTGCGCCGGGCGGGGCGGGGCGGGGCGGTGCTCCGATGACGTAGCCGACTCGGGAGGGGAGTCCCTTGAGGCTGCAGCCAATCGAGGGAAGTGGGAGGTGCAGGCCACGCCCGCCCACTCACAGACAGTGACGTCATCCCCCGCCCCGCTCCAGCGCTTCCCGGGCCCGGCTCACGAGTCCCCGCCCCGACTGCGCACCCGCGAGCTGCAACCCGAGGGGCGGGGATTTTCGTGGAGCGACGGGACGCGACGCCAATCGCAGCGAGGCTTCGCCCCGTGGCGCGGTTTGAAATTTTGCGGGGCTCAACGGCTCACGGAGCGGCTACCCGGAGTGAGATCGCCGGTGTTTGCGGGTGGTTGTTGCTCTCGTGGCCGTGTTGAGTAGGTCTAGACCTGGACTGACGGCTGCTTGGAGCGTCTGCCATGAGGAGAAGGTGCGGGTTGCGGGGAAATCGAGGGGACGCGGGAGAGAGCGACGCCCGTCTCGGGTTCAGGGGTTCAGGGGTGCGGGGCCCGTGCGGGGTCCCGGGACTAGGGCGTCACAGCAGTCGGCGCTGAGTGAGGCCGGGGGCGCGAAGAGGCAGGGTCTGGAGGCGGCGAGCCAGTGCGAGGGCCGCGACGGAGGTGAGACCTGACGCGCTGTCCCCCGGCGGCCGCGGGTGTCCGCAGGCTCAGACGCCCGGGTGGGAGCCGAGCGCCGGTGCCCGGACGCGGCAGGGCGGGCGAGGCCGGGGGCCCGGGTCGGCCTCCACCCAGGCGGTCAGCGCTGGCGCTCGGACCCCACCCTCCCCGCCCTCGGCGTCTCAGGTGCCGCTTCTTGGCGCAGATGACTCGTAAACCTTCTGTGGTCCTGGCTTCTCTTTAAAGCTGTTAAGTTTATTTATCATTGTTTTGTTTTATTCTTTGTTTTTGTGGAAACGCGGTCTCCCTATGTTGGCCAGGCTGGTCTCGAACTCCTGGCTTCAGGTGATCCTGCCACCTCGGCCTCCCAAAGTGTTGGGATTACAGGCGTGAGCCACCGCGCCCGGCCCGTTGTTTTTCTTTATATCTGGCCAGCGGTGTTAACGTTTTGTTTGAATTGGAAAGATAGCTTTGTTTCTTTGCAAGTTAAGAAACGGACTATGGAATTCTTTTCCGGTCGTTTTAATAACTTCCTAGGCAGTGTTGGGGAGGGACTGACCAACTTGAAATCCGGACCAGTGACACTGACACCAGCCTTGTGCCTTCCAAATATTAACTTTAATTTCTGAAAGTTGTAGATGAATTATTGTGATGATACAGCGTTAATTTGTAGTTTTTGGTGAAACTGATTGTTCTAAGGCTTTGTAAGATTCTTCATTTCATGATCACTGATTCTGATCTGTCTTTTTCAAATGCTTGCCCTCAGAATAATGAGAATTGAGTGCCAACATGGTGAAACCCCGTCTTAACTGAAGATACAAAAATTAGCCGGGCGTGGTGGTGCGCCTGTAGCCCCAGCTTCTCAGGAGGCTGAGGCAGGAGAATCGCTTGAGCCTGGGAGGCAGAGGTTGCATGAGCCGACATCTCGACACTGCATTCCAGCCTGGGTAGCAGAGTGAGACTGTCTCAAAAAAAAAAGTCCATTAACAGTTTATGAATTATTTAGGCATCTCCTCTATCAAGGGATTGAATGAAGCAGGAGAAAAAATTACCCTTTAGTGTTGGTTCCAGGCTAATGGATATAATTTGACTTTTTTTTTTTTTTTTTTTGAGACAGGGTCTCACTCTGTCACCCAGGCTGGAGTGCAGTGGCGAGATTCCTCACTGCAGCTTTGACCTCTGAGGCTCAAACAAAACTCGGGCCAGAATTAATTATGGTTATCGGTCCCCGAAACAGGTTGCACAGGAGATCAACAAAGCTCCTTCTCTGGAGTGCTAAGAAAAAATAGGGCAGTGGATCAGTGAAGGCTGCCTGAAGGTAGGAAATAATTTAGAGGACCCCTTTGAGATTTCTTCCAGTCCAGTGATTTATGTTCAAGACTGGAAAAACTGACTCATTCTACAACCTTTGTGTCCTTGAGTGGTAGTCTTTGTATGCACTCTGAGTTTTTCAGTGAGTCTAAAAAAAATCTCAGACTTGCTCCTTTTAGGGGATTACCTGAAACAATTTAGCCAGGTAGTATTTCAGTGTATCATGATAATTGTTCATAATGATTGCTCTCAAGCATCTTAAGAACATACAACTTTTTTGAAATGTCACATTATTCATTCAAAAAGACTTCTTGGGCCTGGCACAGTGGCTCACACCTGTAATCCCAGCACTTTAGGAGGCCAAGGTGGGAGGATGACTTGGGCCCAGGAGTTCAAGACCAGCCTGGGGCAACATAGCAAGACCCTGTCTCTAAAAAATAATAATAATCTATACTAAAAAGAAAAGAAAAATAATTCTTGAATGTTATATACAAGGAACCATTCCAAGTGGTGGGGATATAGCAGTGAGCAAAAGTGACATCCCTGTCCTCACAGAGTTTGTATTCTAATAGCAAAAGAGGAGTGTAATAAATAAGTTAATCTTAAATGGTGATAAGTGCTATGTAGAGAAATCAAGCAGAGAAAGGGGATAAGAAGTACTGAAGGTGTAGGAAGTGGGGTTGTGGTTTTAAAGAGATGGGTCAGGAAAGGCCTCCCTGAGAAGGTGATCTCTGAGCAAAGACCTAAGGAGGAAAAGGGTGAAGCCATGCAGCATGGGGGAAAAGAGATCTAGGTAATCAGCATATCCAAGTGCCCTAAGCGGGGATAGTGCCTGGTATGTTCCAGAAAGAGCAAGGAGGTCTCTGTGACAGGAATAGAATGAGCACTGAGGTCAAAAGAAATGGCTTTCAGATGGAATGGGCCTTCATAGGGCTTTGCAAAGCCAGAGGCTTTTCCTTGGAGTGAGATGGCAAGTCATTGGAGGGTTCTGAGTAGAAGATTAGGACTTGGGGCTCCTGTGTTGACAATAGACTTAAGGAGGCCAGCATTGAAGCAGGGAGACCAGTTAAGAAGCCATTGCCATACAGCAAAAAGTTAGTGGTAGTGACCTGGACGAGGGTGGGGGTGGTAGTGGTAGCAGCAGAGGTCAGGAGGAATGAGATTCTGCCTGTCTTGTGTAGATAATGCTAATGGCGGGAATATAAGAAAGAAGTGTCAAGGATGATACAAGATTTAAGTTTAAAAAAAAAATTAAGTTCAGTACAATTTGAATGTTAGGAAGAGTGAGAAATGTTAGTTTTTAATTCTTTGAAAATGATCCTCTTACAGGAACTGTCTCTAACTAGAATAACAGGCCAACAGGCCAAATAAAATGTGTTATATATTAGTAAAGTTTTCTTTCTTTCTTTCTTTCTTTTTTTTTTTTAAGACAGTCTTGCTCTGTCGCCCAGGCTGGAGTGCAATGGCACGATCTCAGCTTACTGCAACCTCTGCCTCCTGGGTTCACCGGGTTCAAGTGATTCTCCTGCCTCAGCCTCCTGAGTATCTGAGATTACAGGCACCCACCACAACACCCGGCTAATTTTTATGTTTTTAGTAGAGATGGGGTTTCACATGTTGGCCAGGCTGATCTCTAGCTCCTGATCTCAGGTGATCAGCCTGCCTTGGCCTCCCAAAGTGCTGGGATTACACAACGTGAGCCACCACGCCCAGCCATAGTAAAAATCTGTAAGTTTTTCAATTAAGTCACAAATCAAAAAAATTTCAGATTATGTGCCGAGATGTTTTTAATAACAGCTTTGAGATATAATCCACATACCATACAATGTACTTAAAGTGTATAATTCAGTGATTTTCAGAATATTCAGAGTTGTGTAATCATCACTGCAATCAATTTTAGAACATTTTTATCACCCCTTTAAAATCCCATTAGCGGTCAATCCCCTTTCACTCCATGGTCCAAATTCTCCCCACCCCCAACTACAAATCTACTTTTTGGCTAGGCAAGGTGGTGCACACCTATAATTGCAGCACTTTGGGAGCCCAAGGTGGGAGGACTAATTGAGCCCAGGAGTTCAAGAACAGCTTGGGAGACTCTGCCTCTACAAAAAAAAAATTTTTTTTTTTTTTTTTTTGAGATGGAGTCTCACTCTGTCACCCAGGCTGGAGTACAGTGACGCGATCTCGGCTCACTGCAACCTCTTCCCCCTGGATTCAAGCGATTCTCCTGCCTCAGCCTCCCGAGTAGCTAGGATTACAGGTGCCCACCACCACAGCCAGATAATTTTTGTATTTTTAGTAGAGATGGGGTTTCACCATATTGGCCAGGCTGGTGTCAAACTCCTGACTTCGTGATCCACTGGTCTTGGCCTCCCAAAGTGCTGGAATTACAGGCGTAAGCCACCGTGCCTGGCCTAAAAGAAATTTTTTTTTGTTTAAGTTAGCTGGGTGTGGTGGCTCACATCTGCAGTCCCAGCTACTCTGGAAGCTGAGGTGGGAGAATCACCTGAGCCTAGAAGGTTGAGGCTGCAGTGAGCCATGATCATGTTACTGCACTCCAGCCTAGGTGAAAGATGTCTCAAAAAAAACATACAAACCTCAAATCTACTTTTTACCTATTATGGATATATCATATAAACGGAACCATAGCTGTTGTGGTCTTTTGTGACTTGCTTCTTTGACTTGGCATAATATTTTCAAGGTTTATTGCCAAATAATATTCCATTGTATGGCTATATACTACATTTTATTTACCCATTCATAAATTGATGGCCTTTTGTTTTGTTTTGTTTTGACTTTTTGGCTATTGTAAGTAATGCTGCTATAAACATTTGTGTAGTTTTCGTATAAATGTGTTTTCATTTATTTTTGATAAATACCCAGTAATAAAATTGCTGGGTTGTATGAACTCCATTAAACTGAGGGGCTGGGTGCAATGGCTCATGTCTGTAATCCCAACACTTTGGGAGGCTAATGTGGGAGGATTGCTTGGGCCCAGAAGTTCAAGACCTGCCTGAGCAACATGGCAAATCTTTAAAAAAAAAAAAAAAAAAAACGAAAATTAACCAACCATGATAGCACGTCTGTGGTCCCAGCTACTTGGGAGACTAAGGCGGGAGAATTGCTTGAGCCAGGGACCTTGAAGCTGCAGTGAGCTATGATCACACCACTGCACTCCAGCCCAGGTGACAGTGAGGCCCTGTCTCAAAAAACAAAAAAACAACTGAGGAACTACCAGACTGTTTTCCAAAGAGGCTGCACTGTCTTGCATTCCCACGAGCAGTGTTTGAGGGTTCTAGTTTCTCTAGATTCTCACCAATACTTGTTGATATATATATTTTTTTTTATTATAGCCATCCTGTTGGCTGTGAAGTGGTTTTGATTTGCATTTCCCTAATGACTAACATTGAGCATCTTTTTATGTGCTTATTGGCCATTTGTATATCTTCTTTGGAGAAATGTCTATTCAGATTCTCTGCCTATTGTGCTAGATTTTTTTATTCAGGAAAATGATCACTTTACCTTGTAGATATGTTACAGAGATAGGCAGCCCTGCTTGTAAACCTTCATCAGGATCCTAGAATACATAATACCTCTATTAGGTTAGGTAGGTTAGGAGCATAGGACCCTTTGGCAGGAATTCAGGGCCATTCATTTTACATCTATTGAACAACTACTATGCGTTAGGGTGTGGTAAAATGAAGATGAATAAGACGTGGTGGTCCTTGCCCTTGAGTTTATGGTCTACTAGGGGCCTGGGGGGAAAATGGCAAGTGAGTGACAAGTCCACAGGTCTCCAGAGGAGGTGGTGGCAGATAGAAGGAACTGAACGTACAAAGCACGGTGGCATCAGAAAATGAGGGCTGCATGTGGTTTATTGAGGGGCACTGTTCAGGGAATGCCCAGGAAGTTCAGTTGGCTGGAAACTTGGGGAGTGACAAGTGGCAGAGATTAGCAAACTCGGAGAGAGGTTTAGAAGGCCTTTCCACGGAAGGTGGTTGAACTATTTACTGAGGGCAATGGGACCTTTGAAGGGGAGTAGTTAAGCAGGGAGCTGATGGGATTTGTTGTTATGAACAACTAGCTGTTCTGTGGAGATTGGCTGGGCAGGGGTAGGTCTGTCAGATTGAGGAGACTGGTATACTTAAGTAATGACCTTCAGAACAGTGCCCCCGGCTGGCCTGTCTGGAAGCCAGGGTTTTGCATCCAGATCGAATATTGGCCACAGATTGGATCTTAAAAGTTATTTTTAACAAAATGCTAGTATTAGGATTTTTACTTGTGCATTCTTGGGTCTTCAAAATGAAGTGCAAAAGGAGTGTTTGCCTGGGGAAGCTCTTTAGTTGGACTTTAGTTGAGATTATGTTAAATAAATGCCTTACTGTTAACATTTCTTTTTTTCTTTTTCTGTTGGACTTGAACCGTTAACATTTCTAAAGTGAAGGGAGTACAGTAAATTCTTTTAAACATTTGTCAGTATTTGGGTCTTGGTATGGCCATCTGGTATAGGCAACAGGTACTTGTGTAGAAATGTTTCTTCAACAAGAACAGGCAACCTCTAAACTGGGATTTCGTGGCTGGAGATATTTTGGATGTGAATGTATTAACAGCTTTGGAGAGACACATTGTTAGAGATCTAGGCTGGTGACTTGTAGAACCACCGAAAGCTCTGAGACAGAAAGGGGCTAATGAAAGTCTCTAGCTCCAATTGGGTGTGGACGGCACACAAACAGCTAAGTGTTTAAGTGATTTGCTGCAGGCTTCTCAGCTGACTGAAAGCAGAGAACATCTAGATTGCAGTTTCTCTGGTGCCAGGGCAGTCTTAGTTGTCCTGTTATATCTAAGAAAAGGGAGAAAAATTTCTATTCTTTAAATGTTCTGTAAATCAGACTAATGGTTCTAATTTTTAAAGTAAACTTTTCTTAAAAGATACAGAAGCCAGTTAAATTTGTATTTTAGATAAATAATTTTTTGTTAAAATAAGCTTTTGGTAACTGAAGAATAACATACATTCAGAAACATACAGAAATCAAGTGTAAACTCAGTGAATTTTTCACAGTTGATGCACCTGTGTAAGCAGCAACCCAGAAGCCCTCTACCAGTCACTGCCTCCTCTGAGCCAAAAGAGCCACTATCCTGACTTCTGAAAGCATAGATTAGTTTGGCCTGATTTTTTGTTTGTTTCCATTTTTGAGATAGGATGTTGCTTTGTTGCTCGGGCTGGAGTACAGTGATCACAGCTCACTGCAGCCTCATCCTCCCATGCTCAAGCAATCCTCCCACCTCAGCCTCCTGAGTAGCTGGGACTATAGGCATACACCACTGCGCCCAGCTAATTTTTTTTTTTTTTTTTTTTTTGATAGACACAGAGTCTCACTGTTGCCCAGGATGATCTCAAACTCCTGGGCTCAACCAATCCTCCTGCCTCGGCCTTGCAAGGTGCTAGGAATATAGGCGTGAACTACCACGCCTGACCAGTTTTGCCTGTTTTTGAACTTTATGTCAATGGAATCACATAGTGATACACACTTGTGTATCTGGTGGCTTTTGCTCAACCTAAAGTGTTTTTTTTTTCTTCCTCTTCCCCTTACAACTTTTTTTTAAGTTGTTTGACTTCATTAAAAAAATGAAAAGATTTGAGGTATAATTCATACACAGTAAAACGGACTCACTTTACAGGTAGTTTCAATTGTATACTGTTATATAATCACCATCAAGATCTAGAACTATTTCATCACCCCAAAAAGGTAAAATTTAAAAATAAATAAATAAAATAGAAAAATAATAATGGCTTTCCATGTCATGTGTAGTGTGTTCATTTCCTTTTTTGAGACAGTTTCACTCTGTTGCCCAAGCTGGAGTTCAGCAGTACGGTCTTTGCTCACTGCAACCTCGGCTCACTGCAAACCCCACTTCCCGGGTTCAAGTGATTCTCCTGCTTCAGCCTCCCCAGTAGCTGGGATTACAGGCGCACCACCACACCCAGCTAATTTTTTGTGTTTTTAGTAGAGACGGGGTTTCCCCATGTTGGCCAGGCTGGTCTCAAACTCCTAACCTCAAGTGATCCGTTCCCCTTGGCCTCCCAGAGTGCTGGAATTATAGGTGTGAGCCACTGCACCCAGCCAGTTTGTTCATTTTCATTGCTGTATTATTGCACGGTAGGAATGTACTATTCGTTCTGTTGATAGACATCTAGGCTGTTTCTGTTTCCATAATATTATGAGTAGTGCTTCTCTAACCATTCTCATATGTGTCTTTGGTGAAGGTATGTGTTCATTTCTGCTAGGTATGTATGTAGAGGTAGAACTGCTGAGTTCAGCTTTAGTAGATAGACTGCCAACAGTTTTTAAAATAGTTGTACCAATTTACACTATGCCATCAGCATATGAAAGTTCTCACTTTTCTATATACTCACCAACACTTAATGTTGTCTTTTTAACTTTAGCCATTCTTTGAGCTGCTAGTTGTAATTTAAGAAGAATAGGCTGGGCGAGGTGGCTCATGCCTGTAATCCCAGCACTTTGGGAGGCCGAGGCAGGTGGATCACTTGGGGTCAGGAGTTCGAGACCAGCATGGCCAACATGGTAAAACCCCATCTCAACGGCTTTTTAACTTTAGCCATTCTTTGAGCTGCTAGTTGTAATTTAAGAATACTAGGCGCCGGGCGCAGTGGCTCATGCCTGTAATCCCAGCACTTTGGGAGGCCGAGGGGCGATCAAGGTCAGGAGTGAGAGGTTGCGTTTCTAAAAATACAAAAATTAGCTGGGCGTGGTGGCGCATGCCTGTGATCTGAGCTACTTGGTAGGCTGAAGCAGGAGAATCACTTGAACCTGCCAGGTAGAGGTTGCAGTGAGCTGAGATCATGCCACTGCACTCTAGCCAGGGCAACAGAGTGACACTCTGTCTCAAAAAAAAAAAAAAAGAAGAACGAAAAAATAAATAAAATAAAAAGGTCAGGCACGGTGGCTCACATATGTAATCCTAGCACTTTGGGAGGCTAAGGAGGGAGGATCACTTGAGGCTGGGAATTCGAGACCCGCCTGGCCAACATGGCAAAACCCCATCTCTACTAAAAATACAAAAATTAGTTGGGCGTGGTAGCGCGTGCCTGTAGTCCCACCTATTCGGGGGCTAAGTCAGGAGAATCATTTGAATGCAAAAGGTGGAAGTTGCAGTGAGCCAAAATCGCACCACTGCACTCCAGCCTAGGCAACAGAGCAAGACGCTGTGTCAAAAAAAAAAAAATACAAAAAAACCCCCAAAAATAGTAATAAATTGCCAGATATTTTTGTAGGAGTTTCTTACCAGCAAGTTCTTGTGTTAGTTTATTTTACCAACATTTTTGTCTGGTTTTTCTTTAGTAAAAGTATTTATAATTCTGTATTATACTTCCATAGGTAGATCATTGTTGAAAGTCCAGAAGGTTGAGCTTCCATGATGTAATATGATATGAAATCTTGCATTGCTAGTGGTATTTGGTAGGAAAAGGGATGGGGAGTGGTTAAAGGTGAATTAAGCTGAATGCCTGTTTTCAATTTGTTTTTTTCTCGAGGCCACGGAGAAGCCAGTCTTTTTAGTTCTTGAAAATAGTGCTTTTAGTCCGGAGGCTGTGACTGATGTAACTAACAGGTCTTAGGTTTTGGTTTTCAGTGAGGTGCTGGCGGAGGAGTCCATAGTATGTCTGCAGAAAGCCCTAAATCACCTTCGAGAAATATGGGAGCTAATTGGGATTCCAGAGGACCAGCGGTTACAAAGAACTGAGGTGGTAAAGAAGCATATCAAGGTGGGTTGAATAGTACTGGTCTCTGCATTGGACCTGGGTAAGGATGTTGGTGTCTCACCCGAGATAGCATGCAGAAGGGACATGTGATCATCGGCATTGGGATGGCACAGACTCTTCCTGTTTGGTTTGGTTTGGTTTTGAAGTCCCTTCTTGAAATTTGAGGAGGCTGGGCGCGGTGCCTCACGCCTGTAATCCCAGCACTTTGGGAGGCCGAGGCATGTGGATTGCTTGAGGTCAGGAGTTCAAGACCAGCCTGATCAACATGGTGAAACTCCATGTCTACTAAAAATACAAAAATTAGCCAGGCATGGTGGTGAGCACCTGTAATCCCAGCTACTCGGCAGGCTGAGACAGGAGAATCTATTGAACCTAGGAGGTGGAGGTTGCAGTGAGCCGAGAACGTGCCATTGCACTTCAGCCTGGGCAACAGAGTGAGACTCCGTCTGAAAAAAAAAAGAAAAAAGAAATTTGAGGAGTTTGGTATTGGTGTTGGGAGGCTTTTTTCTCCATTGCCCCAAACTTATGGACTGTCTTCCCTCTTGTAGGAACTCCTGGATATGATGATTGCTGAAGAGGAAAGCCTGAAGGAAAGACTCATCAAAAGCATATCCGTCTGTCAAAAAGAGCTGAGCACGCTGTGCAGCGAGTTACGTGTTGAGCCATTTCAGGTCCGTGGCAGCCCACAGGGTCTCTGGGGATCTGTCTGAGGCCTGAGATTTAGGAAGTAGCGTTGACTTGGGCCTGCAGATGGAAGGCTTCCTCATAGGGATGGAGCTAGACATGAGAAGTGGGGAAAACATGCTGGGCATAATTAGGCCCAGCAGAGTAATTCTCACCTCTGTAGAGAGTTGCCCTGGTAAGAGGTGAAACAACTAATAGATGATCAAAAAGAAGCTGCTGTTTACCATAGTTTTGCTTTGTAGGGAATATTAATTTTTTTTAATAAACTCTGAGAAAAAGGTAGGCATAGATGGTGCTGCACTGTTCTTTCTCTGAAAGAAAATGAAAACAGGAACAAAGTAATGATAAAAAGGAATACTACGAAAAAAACAAATCTTTGTGGGTTTTATCATACCCAGAAGCTGCATACCACTGAACCAGCCAAAATAGCTACTTCAGAAGAAATGTCTCAAAAGCTGGAATATTGGGAGTGCATAGTCCAGTTCAGAGCATGCCATGACATCCATCTGGGTATGGAGCTGAGAAGTGGCTATATTGTGGTCCACTGCAAGTCAGGGACTTGAGTGAGGACACCAGAAAGGATGAAATGAATAACAGATGGGGTCCTGAAAAATCTCTGCTTAGAACCAGTAAAAACAGTGCCAGGATCATAAAAATTCAGACAGATGTGGAGCTTGGAAAGATAATGAGTACATCCATAAGGTTCTCAGGTCCCTCTTCCTGTTACAGGAAGACCTGCCTGGGTATCTATTTGGAGTTAGCTTAGGAGGGAGACCGCCTTTAAAGGGCAAAGGATAATTCATACCTGGTAGCCAAGAGCAATCAGGCAGAAGAGAACATGAAGTGGAGCTTCCTGGAGTCAACATAAATTTCATAAATATAATTGATTTTGGACATAGTTTCTCTTTGTTTTTTCACATTCAATGTGAAATTGGGCGAGAAGTGAGGTGTACGATGATACATCTCCCTTAAGTTGCCTGATATTCCTAGTTCACAATGTTAAATGAAATTGTGTAAATTTATAGGACATATAGGAAAAATTTTTATGTCCTATAAAAAATGCCACTTTTTTTTTCTTGTTAACCAATTAGGAGCAGAGCAGAGACTACCAGAAGGGTTTTTGTTGGTAAGGTGAGACGATGTTCATAGGATTAGCAGGGTGAGTATTTAGATATGAGCTAGGCATGCCACCCTACAGCTAACCCAAAGGAAGCTTTCCAGCCAATTTACGCATTTATTTATTTATTTATTTAGAGATAGAGTCTCGCTGTGTTGCCCAGGCTGGAGTGCAACGGTGCAGTCTCGGCTCACTGCAACCTCCGCCTCCCGGGTTCAAGCGATTCTCCTGCCTTAGCCTCCCAAGTAGCTGGGATTACAGATGCCCGTCACCATGCCTGGCTAATTTTTCTATTTTTAGTAAAGAGTGGGTTTCACCATGTTGGCCAGGCTGGTCTCCAACTGCTGACCTCGTAATCCCAAAGTGCTGGGATTATAGGTGTGAGCCACCGTGCCTCCCAAAGTGCTGGGATTATAGGTGTCAGCCACCGTGCCTGGCTGCCAACTTACACTTTTTATAAAAGTGCCTAGTGCCTGGAGTAGTCTAATCATAGAGAGAAAAGGTAGAATGGTGGTTGCCAGGCTTGGAGAAAGGAAAAAAATGGGGACTTATTGTTTGAGTATGAAGTTTCACTTTTGCAAGAGGAAATGAGTTTTGGAGGTGATGGTAATGATTGCACAGCAGTATGACTGTACTTAATACCACTGAACTGTACACTTAATGGTTAAGATGATAAATTTTATGTTATATGTATTCTTTTTTTTTTTTTGAGACGGAGTCTCGCTCTGTCGCCCAGGCTGGAGTGCAGTGGCGCGATCTGGGCTCACTGCAAGCTCTGCCTCCCTGGTTCACGCCATTCTCCTGCCTCAGCCTCCCAAGTAGCTGGGACTACAGGCACCTGCCACCTCGCCTGGCTAGTTTTTTGTATTTTTTTTATTAGAGATGGGGTTTCACCGTGTTAGCCAGGATGGTCTCAATCTCCTGACCTGGTGATCCGCCCGTCTCGGCCTCCCAAAGTGCTGGGATTACAGGCTTGAGCCACCACGCCCAGCCTATGTTACATGTATTCTACCACAAGTTTTAAAATTGGAGGAAAAAGTACCCTATTCACCTTTCCTCACTGGGACCTTCCTTTGGAAACCCTCTTTATGCCATATTCTGTTGACCATGAGTTGACTTACTTGTAAGTTTAACTTAAAGTCTGTCATCTAAGCCTTCTTATGTTATCCTTCTCTTCCTTTGAAGGAATTCACTTGGAATCTTGTAACAGTGGTACATTGTCTTATTCAGGAAGAAGGAGAGACAACCATCTTGCAACTAGAAAAAGATTTGCGCACCCAGGTGGAATTGATGCGAAAACAGAAAAAGGAGAGAAAACAGGAACTGAAGCTACTTCAAGAGCAAGATCAAGAACTGTGTGAAATTCTTTGTATGCCCCGCTATGATATTGACAGTGCCTCAGTGCCCAGCTTAGAGGAGCTGAACCAGTTCAGGCAACATGTGACAACTTTGAGGGAAACAAAGGTACACTGCCTACATTTGTACTTCCTAAAAACCACTTTGGTTTTCCTCTAGGTATCTTGTAATTGCTTTGTTTTAAAGGCTTCTAGGCGTGAGGAGTTTGTCAGTATAAAGAGACAGATCATACTGTGTATGGAAGAATTAGACCACACCCCAGACACAAGCTTTGAAAGAGATGTGGTGTGTGAAGACGAAGATGCCTTTTGTTTGTCTTTGGAGAATATTGCAACACTACAAAAGTTGCTACGGCAGGTACTGTCTTCTCAAATTATGCCCTAGGATCTCCGTAGTATATAGTTTGAAAAAAACTGACAGCTGTTTCTTCAGTCTTAAATAAGGAGACAATGTAAGATGAGAGAATGAGGGAAGATAAGGATAGTAATATATGATATACAACCTTGATTTTTGTTTACTAGTTAAAAAAGCTTTATATGTAGCTCCAAGAAAATGAAATTATAGATGAAATAACATTAGTCATTTGAATTAGATTAGTGTTTAATTAAAATTGTTTTCAGTTCTAAATTTGAATGCTAATTCTTGGAGTCCGAGATCCTGACAGCCTTACAGCTTGTGTTTAGGAGGCATGAAAACATGCTACTTTGAGTTCTCATGAAAGTGCCTCCTCTACCTGTGGGTCCAGACGTTTCTTTGCGGGAGGCCAGAGGGCTAGCCTCTGTTGCTGCTTTGCTGTGAGTGACACTGGCTTTCTGTGCTGTAGCTGGAAATGCGGAAATCACAAAATGAAGCAGTGTGTGAGGGGCTGCGTGCTCAAATCCGAGAGCTCTGGGACAGGTTGCAAATACCTGAAGAAGAAAGAGAAGCTGTGGCCACCATTATGTCTGGGTCAAAGGCCAAGGTCCGGAAAGCGGTAAGAAACCCAATGGGTACTGGGTCAGAGTCTTCTCTTAGCACTTCTGTGTCAGTCATAAAGACTGTTGATTTGGCCTGGCGCAGTGGTTCATGCCTCTAATCCCAGCACTTTGGGAGGCTGAGGTGGGTGAATCATTTGAGATCAGGAGTTCGAGACCAGCCTGGATAACATGGCGAAACCCTGTATCTACTAAAAATACAAAAATTAGCCAGGCGGTAGTGGCACATGCCTGTAATCCCAGCTACTTGGGAGGCTGAGACAGGAGAATCGCTTGAGCCTGGGAGGCGGAGGGGTGTAGTGAGCCAAGGTCGTGCCACTGCACTCCAGTCTGGGCGAGAGAGTGAGGCTGTGTCTCAAAAAAATATATATATTGATTTATAACACCTTTGTGGCTTTGCATAATAATTTTACTTAAAAGGGAGGGAACTTTTGCAAACTTTAGTGAATATAAAAGTATGACAGCCACCTTTAACAAGTTTCTTTCTTTCAGCTGCAATTAGAAGTGGATCGGTTGGAAGAACTGAAAATGCAAAACATGAAGAAAGTGATTGAGGCAATTCGAGTGGAGCTGGTTCAGTACTGGGACCAGTGCTTTTATAGCCAGGAGCAGAGACAAGCTTTTGCCCCTTTCTATGCTGGTTAGTACAAGAGTGAGGTCTTTGGTTTGTTTGTTTGTTTGTTTGTTTGGAGACAGGTCTTACTCTGTTGCCCAACCTGGTCTCAAATTCCTAGGCTCAAACAGTCCTCCTACCTCGGCCTCCCAAAGTGTTGGGCCACCACACCCAGTCAAAAGTGTGGTCTTCCTGTGGCCTGCTCACTAGTTTTTAAGACATCCAGACATTCAACAGGAAGTATTTCCTCTTCTGAACAGATAAAGCCACCTTTTCAAGACATTTAGCATAATTGCCATTCCTGTATGAAAAAGTATTTGCAAATATTATTGGGAAATACTCGTCTCTTGCTTTCTGAAGCAATATGTCAGTGTAGCTTCTAGCTGTGAAGCTTAAGTTTTTATCAGGTGCTTACTTTTTGCAGGTGCAGTGTCAAACCCTTAATATTATTTCACAGAATCCTCATGTCAAGAGCTAAGGATACTAAAGCACATAAATACTGAGTAACTTAACCCAGAGACATACAGTGGTAAATGCCAGAGCCTATGTTTGGGCCAAAAGGAGCTTGACTCCTGGAGCCCAGTGGATTTCTAGTCTGAACTGAACTGAATATAAAGATGAAGCTATCCCAACTAAATTCAACAGATGTTTTTGCACATTTTCTGTGATCCACCCCTCTACTGGCTGGGCAAGACAGAAAAGAAGAATATGAAAGAAACCGAAGACAAGGCAAGAGATGATGCAGATTTTTGACATTATTTTAGTCTCTATCCTAGTCTCTTAGGCCCTAGTCCCTCAGGCCGATTGTGACAAAGCTGGTTTTTTATTAACCACTATATATCTATTACACACACACACATGCCTCTTCCTGTATCAGTTTACTATAAGGAAAGAATCTATTTCCATTTTAGGGAATGGATGATTTGTAAAATTGGATACTAAACACTAGAGGAATTGTTTTAAACTACTGGCCCTATATTTTGCAGAGGACTACACAGAAAATCTGCTCCAGCTCCACGATGCTGAGATTGTGCAGTTAAAAAACTACTATGAAGTTCACAAGGAACTCTTCGAAGGTGTCCAGAAGTGGGAAGAAACCTGGAGGCTTTTCTTAGAGTTTGAGGTATTGCCCTAGTTTTTGTGTTTTTGTTAAACCATGCCATGTACGGAATCAGTCCAGTTAGCTTTGTTCTTTGCCAGGCTTTTGATACCCCATCTTTAAGTCTCTCTAAATTTCTGCTGACCCCTCTATTTGGTAAGCTTATCTGCAGGGTCTTATAAGAGAAAAGCCCAAAATTAATGGCTTAAATAAGGTTGGCATTTCCTGCATGAATGAGGTTCAGAGGTGGGCAGTATGGGGCAGGCATAGCAGATCTGCACAGCGAGCAGGGCCCCAGGCTTCTCCGGCCCAGGGCGCTCCCCCACCACTAAGGGTGGACCTTATTCTCAGGGCCAGGATGGCTGCTACTAGAGCTCCCACCCTGATGGCACTTTTTTTTTTTTTTTTGGAGGTGGAGATTTGCTCGTCACCCAGGCTGGAGTGCAATGGCGCGATCTTGGCTCACCACAACCTCCACTTCATGGGTTGAAGCAATTCTTCTACCTCAGCCTCCCCAGTAGCTGGGATTACAGGCATGTGCCACCATGCCCGGCTAATTTTGTATTTTTAGTAGAGACAGGGTTTCACCATGTTGGCCAGGCTGGTCTCAAATTCCTGACTTCAGGTGATCCGTCCATCTCGGCCTCTCAGAGTGCTGGGATCACAGGCGTGAGCCACTGCGCCTGGCCCCTGATGGCACATTTCAGACAGTGTGGTGGAGGAGGAACAAAGAAGGCATTGCCCCTCACTCCTTCAAGAGCTCTTCCTGGCTCTCTTCACAGCACCGTGGCTCACATGCTGTCAGCTGCTGGTGAGGCTGGGTGAATTGCTGCCCCAGGTAAATTCTGGTTCTGTTACTAAGGAAGGAGAGAAGAATGGATGTTGGGGCAGGCAACTAACATTCTACCATTCCAGCTTTTGCTATTTACTTAGAAAATTGCATGGGTATTGATTCCTTTTCTTCTGATAGGCAGCACGGATGGGTTCCTTCAGAGCATTTTAGAGCTCAGGGACTATGGTGAGGCAAGTGAGGAGTGTAGGGCACAGATTGAGGGACACCTTGTTCTTGGGTTCATGCTGGCCCTGTTAGAGCTCACAGGGCCTTCAGAGAATCTGAATTCAACTCCTTCAAGTTTACAGGCAGCAAACTAGGACTCAGAAGTGGAGAGAACTATGGGATATCTTACAGCTGTTTAAGAACAGATGTCTTTGTCCTCAGTTATTCTTTACTTCTGGTTACAACAAAAAGAAGAGTAAACATAAATGAGGAGGCCGGGCACGGTGGCTCATGCCTGTAATCCCAGCACTTTGGGAGGCCGAGGCGGGCGGATCACAGGTCAGGATATCGAGTCCATCCTGGCTAACATGGTGAAACCCTGTCTGTAATAAAAAAATACAAAAAATTAGCCAGGCATGGTGGTGGGCGCTTGTAGTCCCAGCTACTTGGGAGGCTGTGGGAGAAGAATGTCATGAACCCAGGAGCCGGAGCTTGCAGTAAGCCCAGATCAAGGCACTGCACTCCAGCCTGGGTGACAAAGCAGGACTCCGTCTCAAAAAAAAAAAAAAAAAAAAAAACCATAAATAAGGAGCTAAGGCAGCAACCTTTGTTGACATGCCAGTATTTAAGAAGAAAACAAGAAATGAATTACCATCCTGTCTAGTAACGATTGGCTATCACCAATCAAGCAGTATGGAAGGGAAACAATTTAATTTTCAAGAATGTCTTCTAAATTTTTCTGCTTATGTGCCCCTATTTTTGAGTATACATACCTAATTTATAATTACAAGCTATATACTTGCATTACTGTTCTGATATACTATATATGTTCTAAAAGAAAACACATGCTGGTCCAAGAGAAGTGGCGTTTATAACTCAGTGATCACAGCCAGTTACAGATTTGTTCCTGTCCCACTGCATTACTTGACTAGAAAGAAGACGACAGTAAAAAACAGAAAAGTTAATAAAAAGTTAAAAAGGATGAGAAGCTTTAACTATTTATTTTTATTTATTTATTTATTTTTTGTCTCACTTGTTGCTCAGGCTGGAGGGTAGTGGCGTGATCTCGGCTCACTGCACGCCACCCGGGTTCAAGTGATTCTCCTGCCTCAGTCTCCCGAGTAGCTGGGACTACAGGTGACTGCTACCAGGCCCACTAATTTTTTTACTCTTAGTAGAGATCGGGTTTCACCATGTTGGCCAGGCTAGTCTCGAACTGTCGACCTCAGGTGATCCGCCCGCCTCGGCCTCCCAAAGTGCTGGGATTATAGGCGTGAGCCACTGTGCCCAGCAAGAACAAAGACTCTTAACAGAAGTTATTGGTCTCATGGTGCCAGGCTTTCTACTAATTAAAATGTACTTTTCACAGAGGAAAGCTTCAGATCCGAATCGATTTACAAACCGAGGAGGAAATCTTCTAAAAGAAGAAAAACAACGAGCCAAGCTCCAGAAAATGCTTCCTAAGGTAATATTATTGCTAAGGGTTTTTGGTGCTTGGTTACAAAGATACCTCACTATTTGTATGTCTTTTTCTTTCTATTGTTTAACCCCAAAATGATTTTCTTCAAAGCTTAGGCAGAGATAAGTTATATATTCAGTATACGCAACTGTGTATCAAGGCGTATTCGTTTGCTAGGACTGCCATAATAAAGCACTACAGGCCGGGTGTGGTGGCTCACGCCTGTAATCCCAGCACTTTGGGAGGCTGGCGGATCATGAGGTCAGGAGTTCAAGACCAGCCTGGTCTCTACTAAAAATACAAAAATTAGCCAGGCATGGTGGCGGGCACCTGTAATCCCAGCTACTCAGCAGGCTGAAGCAGAGAATCGCTTGAACCCGGGAGGCAGAGATTGCAGTGAGCCAAGACCACGCCACTGCACTCCAGCCTGGGCCACAGAGTGAGAGACTCCGTCTCAAAAAAAAAAAAAAAAAAACAAAAAACAGAAAACACTACGTACTGGGCAGCTTTGACAACAGCAACTTATTTTCTCACAACTCTAGAAACTGCAAATCTGATGACAACATGTCATTGGCAGAGTTGGTTTCTTCTGAGGCCTCTCTCCTTGGCTTTGTAAATGGTCGTCGTCTTCTCCGTGTCTTCACATGGTTTTCCCGCAATATGTGTGGCCTAATTACTCCCAGTCATATGAGATTAGGGCCCACCTAATGACCTCATTTTAACTGAATTCTTTTTTTGTTTCTTCAAGAGATGGGGTCTTGCTATGTTGACCAGGCTGGTCTTGGACTCCTGGCCTCAAGCAATCCTCCCATCTCGGCCTCAGGAATGCTAGGATTATAGGAATGAGCCAGCACACTTGGCCTTAATTCTCTTTTTAATGACGCTGTCTCCAAATACAGTCACAATCTGAGGTACTGGGGGTTAAGGCTTCAACATTTGAATTTGGGGAGAAACACAATTCAGCCAGTTACATAAGGAAAGCCTTTGAGAGAGAGAGTCCTGTGGGCTTCATTACCATTTTCCACTTTGATAATACCACCATTTTTTTGAGTTAAGTCAGGGATATCATTTCAAAACACTCTCATTTAGTAATTCATCTATTCCTCACAACATCCCTATGAGGTTGGTATTATTTCTATTTTTACAGATGAGGAAACTGAGGTACTAAGAAGTTAGGTAAATCTGGCCAGGCATGGTGGCTCACTCCTGTAATCCCAGGGCTTTGGGAGGCCAGCAGTTCGAGACCAGCCTGGCCAACATGACGAAACCCCATCTCTACTAAAAATACAAAAATTAACCAGGCGTGGTGTATGCCTATTAATCCCAGCTACTCAGGAGGCTGAGGCACAAGAATCGCTTGAACCCGAGAGGTGGAGGTTGCAGTGAGCCGAGATCGTGCCACTGCACTCCAGCCTAGGCAGCAGACTGTCCCAAAAAAAAAAAAAAAAAAAGTTACATAAATTTGCTCACTGCTTCACAGCCAGTAAAGACGGTGATTCCAGATTGAACCCCATTATGTCTGATTTCAGAGTCCTGCTCCTAATGTTCACTGTCTATTTCATATTGCTGATCTTTACTGTGCTGCCTCCAACTTCAGGCACCAAAACCTTAGTGGTCAAACTTTGGGTTCTTGCCATTTTCCACTCTTGTATGTTGTGTGAATGAAATGTCCCCGGGCTTTGATTTCTGGTCACTCTGACCTGTACCTATGTGGGCCCAGCTACCTGAGATGAGGCTAGTGATGCTCTGGGGAGGAGGAGTCACTCTCTAGAGAAATCATTTCATTTGGGCTTTACACTAAAGAGTTGAAGTAATTAACATGTCCTTATTTCTGGTCTCAGCTGGAAGAAGAGTTGAAGGCACGAATTGAACTGTGGGAACAGGAACATTCAAAGGCATTTATGGTGAATGGGCAGAAATTCATGGAGTATGTGGCAGAACAATGGGAGATGCATCGATTGGAGAAAGAGAGAGCCAAGCAGGAAAGAGTAAGTGTGAACGTGAGCACAAATTGGGATAAGAGGAAGATGGTAATCTGAGCAGCCCAGAGTCTCTGCCAGGGACCAGGGTTTGTTGAATAGGGAGCCTGTGGCAGCTCTTTTTAGCTCTGGCTGCGGAGACATGGGCGGAGACATGGTCCTGCTTCTGTTGCCATCCCAGACCTGCTCTCTTCCTAAGATGTATCACTGTTGCTTCTGACTTTCACGCAGCAACTCAAGAACAAAAAACAGACAGAGACAGAGATGCTCTATGGCAGCGCTCCTCGAACACCGAGCAAGCGGCGAGGACTGGCTCCCAACACACCGGGCAAAGCACGTAAGGTAAACACAGGGCTTACGGAAGCACTGATTTCAAGGGAGTGGGTGAGGGTAGTCCCAGCCACCTCTTTGAACGGAGCCAGCCCCTCCATACCCGTAGGTATTTCTAGTCAGGTGGGACGAGAGACAGAAAAGAAATAAGACACACACAAAGTACAGAGAAAGAACAGTGGGCCCAGGGGACGAGCGCTCAGCATACAGAGGACCCACACCCGCACCGGTCTCTGAGTTCCCTCAGTATTTTTTATTATTTTCACTGTCTCGGCAAGGGGAATGCAGCAGGAGGACAGGGTGATAGTGGGGAGAAGGTCAGCAGGAAAACATATGAGCAAAGGAATCTGTGTCACAAATAAGTTCAAGGGAAAGTACTGTGCCTTGGATGTGCATGTAGGCCAGATTTATGCTTCTTTCCACCCAAACATCTCAGTGTAGTAAAGGGTAACAGGACAGTATTGCCGCCAGCATATCTCGCCTCCAGCCACAGGGCGGTTTTCTCCTGTCTCAGAATAGAACAAATATATGATCGGGTTTTACACCGAGACATTCCGTTCCCAGGGGCATGCAGGAGACGGAGGCCTTCCTCTTTTACTAATCCTCCTCAGCACAGACCCTTTACGGGTGTCGGGTTAGGGGACGGTCAGGTCTTTCCATTCCCACAAGGCCCTATCTCTGGCTGTCTCAGTGGGGGAAAATACCTGGACAATACCCAGGCTTTCTTGGGCAGGGGTCCCTGCAGCTTTCCGCTGTGCATTGTGCCCCTGGTTAATCGAGAATGGAGAACGGCGATGACTTTTACCAAGCATACTGCCTGTAAACATACTGTTAACAAGGCACATCCTGCACAGCCCTAAATCCCTTAAACCTTGATTCCATACAGCACATTTCTGTGAGTACAGGGTTGGGGCTAAAGTTGCAGATTAACAGCATCTCAAGGCAAAACAATTTTTCTTAGTGCAGATCAAAATGGAGTTCCTTCTCCCACATGACACAGTAACAGTCTAATCTTTCTTTTCCCTACATCTCTGGCCCTCTGTCCTGCAGAGAGGGGAAAGGGTTCTTCTGTCCCTTCATGTCAAGTCCACTTGAGAGTGAATGGGGCCGGGCGCGGTGGCTCAAGCCTGTATTCCCAGCACTTTGGGAGGCTGAGACGGGCGGATCACGAGGTCAGGAGATCAAGACCATCCTGGCTAACACGGTGAACCCCGTCTCTACTAAAAATAAAAAACTAGCCGGGCGAGTGGCAGGCGCTGTAGTCCAGCTACTCGGAGGCTGAGGCAGAGAATGGCGTAAACTTGGCGGCGGAGCTTGCAGTGAGCTGAATCCGGCCACTGCACTCCAGCTTGGGCGACAGAGCGAGACTCCGTCTCAAAAAAAAAAAAAAAAAAGAAGAGAGTGAATGGAAGGCTAAATAGCGGCTTATAGTGACAGTCACAGAGTGGCCAGCTTTGGTGTCTGCGCTTGAGTCCTTGCATTAAATTTGAGGGGTGGGGGGGAATGATTGCTAACATTCTGGTAATGATGAAAAGAAAGCTTCATTGGTTTTCCCGAAAACCTGTAATGCTGTTTTCCCTGTAAGGCCAAGAGGTGGCCGTGTTGTACCATGTGAAAAACAACGTTCATGCTTACTTACTAAATGAAACATGTAATGATTCTTCATCTCTACAGCACAAAGTCAGAGAGGACTTTATTTATTATTTATTTATTTGTTTATTTTTATTTTTTTGAGACAGTTTCTCTCTTGTTGCCTAGGCTGGAGTGCAATGGCGTGTTCTCAGCTCACTACAGCCTCTGCCTCCTAGGTTCAAGCGATTCTCCTGCCTCAGCCTCCCAAGTAACTGGGATTACAGGCATGTGCCACCACGCCCAGCTAATTTTGTATTTTTAGTAGAGACAGGGTTTCTCCATGTTGGCTAGGCTAGTCTTGAATTCCTGACCTCAGGTGATCCACCCACCTCTACTTTCAAAGTGCTAGGATTACAAGCGTGAGCCTCTGCACCTGGCCTACTTTTTTCTTTTTGATAAATAAAAGCATTATTTCTTCTCCCTACTCATATTTTATAACATAAATTATTTTTAGAGAGCGTATTGCTCTGTCGCCCACACTGGAATGCAGTGGTGCCATAATGGCTCACTGCAGCTCAACCTCCTGGGCTCAAGTGATTCGCTAACCTCAGCCTCCTACGTAGCTGAGACTTACAGGCACATGCCACCATACCCAGCTAATTTTTTTTTGGGGTGGGGGGGCGGTTTTTTGAGTCTTAGTAGAAACAAGGTCTCACTAAGTTGTCCAGGCTGGTCTCAAACTCCTGAGCACAAGCAGTCCTCCTGCCTCAGCCTCCCAAAGTGCTGGGATTACAGGTGATGAGCCACTGTGCCTGGCCTAAAATGTGTGTGTTTTTTTTGTTTTTGTTTTTGAGATGGAGTCTTGCTCTGTTGCCAAGCTGGAGTGCAGTAGCGTGATCTCGGCTCACTGCAACCTCCGCCTCCTGGGTTCAGGTGATTCTTGTGCCTCAGCCTCCTGAGTAGCTGGGACTACAGGCCTGTGCCACCATGCCCACCTAATTTTTGTATTTTTAGTAGAGATGGGGTTTCACTTTGTTGGCCAGGATGGTCTCAATCTCTGGACCTCAGAAGATCCTCCTGCCTCAGCCTCCCAAAGTGCTGGGATTACAGGCATGAACCTCCACCTCCCGGGTTCAAGCGATTCTCCTGCCTCAGCCTCCTGAGTAGCTGGGATTACAGGTATGCGCTACCACACCCGGCTAATTTTTTATTTTTAGTAGAAATGGGGTTTCTCCATGTTGGTCAGGCTGGTCTCATACTCCCGACCTCAGATGATCCACCCACCTCGGCCTTCCAAAGTGCTGGATTGCAGGCATGAGCCACTGTGCCCAGCTACCTAGAGTTTTTTTAATTAAAAAAAAAAAAAGTTTTGGCTGGGCGCAGTAGCTCAAGCCTGTAATCCTAATACTTTAGGAAGCCAAGGTAGGGGGATTGCTTGAACTCAGAAGTTCGGAGACTAGCCTGGGTAACATGTTGAAGCCCCATCTCTACTAAAAACACAAAAATTAGCTGGTTGTGGTGGCACACACCTGTGGTCCCAGCTACTGAGGAGGCTGGGGTTGGAGGATTGCTTGAGCCCAGAAGGTTGAGGCTGCAGTGAACCAAGATTGTACCACTGTACTCCAGCCTGGGTGACAGAGTGAGACCCCCATCTCAAAAACGTTTAGAGCTCTTATTAGCATGTAAGTTTTGACATATGTACGTTTACATAATGAAACTGTCACCATAAGTTAGATAATGAACATTTCCATGGTCCCCAAAGTTTCCTAGTGCCTCTTTGTATTACCTCCCTCCTTCTCTGGCTCCTGATTTGCCCCCAGCCTCTAGCTGTGGCAAGTAAGGATTTACTCTTTAACTACAGATGTTTGCATTTTGAAACATTTTACATAGAATCCCGCAGTATATATTCTTTTTTGTCTGGCTTCTTTCATTTAGTATAGATTCATCTCTGTTGTTGAATGTATCAAAAGGTCACTCCTTTTTATTGCATATCAATATTCATTCCACTGTATGAATTTGCCACAGTTTGTCCACTTACCTGCTGATGGGTATTTGGTTGTTTCCAGCTTTTGGCTGTTGTAGGTAGCTGCTATGAACATTTACATCTAAGTCTTTGTATGGATCTCTGCTTTCGTTTCTTTTGGGTAGAGACACCTGAGAGTAGAATGGCTGGGTCGTATGCTAGATGTCTTGTGCCACAGTGGTTGTACCATTTTACATTTCCATTTGCTGGATATCAATAGGCTTTGAAAATTTTCCACAGGTTTCTTCAAACCTATGCAGTATTAGACACAGCAGGCCCTTCACCATGTAAACCCATCTTCCCTGGACTGCCTCCAATAGTCATTTCTCTGTAGGGTAGAGACGGGTTGCTGGAAATGCTGAGGATGTTACTGCACATAAGTAACCCGTGTGTTCTCTCTAGCTGAACACTACCACCATGTCCAATGCTACGGCCAATAGTAGCATTCGGCCTATCTTTGGAGGGACAATCTACCACTCCCCTGTGTCTCGACTTCCTCCTTCTGGCAGCAAGGTTAGTATGCCCTGTGTCTAAGCACATCCTCACATGCATCCCTAGCCTGTTCACCCAGAGGCCCCACCTACTTGTTCTGGATTCTAAGATCCCTGGATTTGGTTCTTACTTACATGCTGAGAGTTGACAGATATAAGCTAGCTCACCATTAAATAATGGTCCAAAATTAATGTGCAAAAAAAGAGAACAGTCACTCTGAGCCCCACTGGTATCATGAGAAGCACTGGGATGTCTGGGAAACTGAAGATCAGGCAGGGTCACTGTGGACTCAATTCCAAGCCGACTCAATTCCAAGCCCAGTCTTCAGCTGGTATGGAGCTAGGTCCCCTACATGTGGGTTCCAGCCCAGTGAAACCAGATCACTAGACATGCCAAGTACTCAGTAGAGATGTTGAAAAGTATGTGGTAAAGCACAGTCTTTCAAATATTTTATTAGACTATGCACAAGATAGGTGTTCTGTAAATCAAGAATTCATATTTTAAAAAATTTTTTTCTAGAGATGGGGTTCTGTTATGTTTCCCAGGCTGGTCTTGAACATGTGGCCTCAAGCAATCCTCCTGCCTTGGCCTCCCAAAGTGTTGGGATTATAGGCGTGAGCCACACCCAGCCCCATATATATATTTTTTTTAACTAAAAAGTATAGGATTCTAGACATGAATATAAAGATAGTCTCAGCCGTTGACCAGTGCAGGTATTGTGTGTGCACGTTCATTAGAAGGAGGATACATGGATCTCTTTCCTTTCTCTGCAGCCAGTTGCTGCTTCCACCTGTTCAGGGAAGAAAACACCCCGTACTGGCAGGCATGGAGCCAACAAGGAGAACCTGGAGCTCAACGGCAGCATCCTGAGTGGTGGGTACCCTGGCTCGGCCCCCCTCCAGCGCAACTTCAGCATTAATTCTGTTGCCAGCACCTATTCTGAGTTTGCGGTAATTCACCTTTTCTAATATCTACCAGTCTCTGGGGAGCACACAGTTGGGGCAGAGTGGGTATCTTCCCAGGGGCACCCAGGCTGTTAGCTAGGGCAGCTACCTTGGAGGCTGAGAATCCCTTTCCTGCTTTGACCATGGCGGGGTGGGTGTGATTTAAGGGGGGGTTGTATAGGAAGGAAGTTGGCAGCAGCAACTAGACATTGAACCTGGATCCTTCTGCTTAATATATACCATTCCCTGGCTGCGGGAGGCAACCCCTCTATCACTGCCCTGGTGCTCTCTTGGTGGAGTTCTTGGTAATTGTCTCAATTCTTTGTTCTTAGAAGGATCCGTCCCTCTCTGACAGTTCCACTGTTGGGCTTCAGGTCTGTATGGCAACCCCTGCACGTCCCATGTCCCTTTTCCAAACTGATCTGTCATCTGCTGGCTTCATTCATCTGGGCACAGGGCTACACTAACCAATAATCTCGGCAGTGTTACAAAGGAAGCAGGAATTCCTATCATGGACTCAAAAAAAACACATCTGATTTACATTCACAACAGATTAATAAGAAAATTTGTTCAGACTTGAATTGGATTCTCAGCCCCTAAAGTCAGGCAGTTTTAAATCGTGTTTTAACAGAAAACCTTGACCCTCCCCAATTGTGACATCAAAGGCCTGCAGTAGCTGGAAAGAATAGAGGCCCCATCACATGGGGAAGGGAGCCCCAGCTGTGTGCTGCCTACAATGAGGCTCTTGGCCTGTGTGCTGATTATTTCCTGGAGTATATGCCTTCCTAACCTCAGGGCTCAACTGCCAGCTCTGTCTATTCTCAGCTAGCTAATGCCGATTTCCTCACCTTTGCCTCTTTCCATACATTGAGCTACTGAAGCATAGATGAAGCATTGGAAGCAAGTTTTTCCAGAATGCTCTTCACTTCCTAGTATCCTACTCTATATCTGCTAACACCTAATTACACTGCCTTTTACTTAATCTATCTTCTCTTCTCTCAATATTTTACTAGCAAGAGGTGAGGATGTCCCTCACCCTTGAGGGGATGTTGAGTTAAACCCCTAGCCTGCCTCCCCTCTTAATTGCTGCAGGGATGGCGAATGGAACAGTTGGCCAAGGCTGCAGCTAATTTTAATCACTGAAACTGGCTTCCTACTCCAGCAAGTTTTTCAAATTACATGGCTGGTGGTGCTTCTACCTATAAAAGTGGGTGTGTGTCACTCTGGCTGACTGCTGGACAGAGGTCCAGCTTTCTCTTTTTTGCTTGTTCAACCAAGGCCCATTTTATCTAGTTGAGGCTTAAATGTACCTGCCTATCTCTGTGGCTAGTCCTAGGTAGGTTCATCTGGTTTGAGTTGCTAAGGCTGATAGACTCCACCAGGCAGCACCAAAGCCGGTAAACTAACCTCTGCTAATATCTGTCTTTCTCAATGGCCATTCATGCTTTATCTTTTGCTGCTATACCATGTGCTCCAGCATGAGATCAAATCACCAGCAGGTTACAAGGCCTCAGCCCCAGGGATTGGTAGATATATGTTCTGGCCCATTGTTTTATAGAGGGCTTCAGGAGACCAAAGCTTGTTGCCTACTTGACGACTCTAAAGTAGCTTTGTGAAGTAGAGTCATGCCTCACTTAATGACAGGGATATGTTCTGAGAATGTGTGGGGCAATTTCATTGTGCACATATCAGTGTGTACTTAACAGTCCTAGACAGTACAGCCTACACACCTAAGCTATATGGTATGGCGTTTTCCTCCTAGGCTACAAACCTGGGCAGCATGTTACAGAAGGAATACTATAGGCAATTGTGGGTTTTTTTGATTCAGGCTGGGATACTGTAGGCAGTTGTAACGCAATGGTAAGTATTTGTGTATCTAAACATAAGAAAAGGTACAGTAAAAATACGGTATAATCTTATGGGACCACCATAGTGTATGTGGCCTGTTGTTAACTGAAACGTCATTATGTGGTGCATGACTGTATGAAGGATTTCTCTTCTCTGAGGTGTAACAGAAGGGACTGGCTGAGGAAAGGGATCACAGGCATGCGTGTACATGCACTCTGTCTATGACTAATAGAATGGTGCTCAGAGTTCTTCGCCTTTTACTCCTAACGCAGCCTATGCCAGGCTGGGGATCTCAGAGAAACTGCCTTCAAGGGACCTTTGGTGACACTTAACCATACTTAGAAGGGTGGGGCATGTGTAATAGAGGCAGTATTGCCACTGATGTTATTTATTTTTCAACAGCGAGAACTTTCAAAGGCTTCCAAATCTGATGCTACTTCTGGAATCCTCAATTCAACCAACATCCAGTCCTGAGAAGCCCTGATCAGTCAACCAGCTGGGGCTTCCTGTGCCTAGACTGGACCTAGTTATATGGGGGTGACCGTAGTTTTTCTTCAGCATAGGCGTGCTTGAAACCCTGGACAGGTTCCATGACCATGGGCCTAACTTAAAGATGTGAATGAGTGTTACAGATGAAAGTCCATCATAGGTTTGGTGGTCCTAGGAGACTTGGTTTTGACTTAAATACATTAAAAGTTTATGGCAGGAAGTGCAAATTTTAGCATATGGGGCCTGACCTCTACCACATAATTCTACTTGCTGAAGCATGATCAAAGCTTGTTTTATTTCACCACTGTGTAGGAAAATGACTGACTATGCCCATCCCTGGGGTAATTCTGGCATGTATACCTGTAACTAGTAATTAACATCTTTTTTGTTTAGGCATGTTCAATTAATGCTGTAGCTATCATAGCTTTGCTCTCACCTGAAGCTTTGTCCCCACCACACAGGACAGCCTTCCTCCTGATGAGAATGTCTGTGTGTCTGAAGTTGAGATGGCCTGCCCTACTGCCAAAGAGGTGACAGGAAGGCTGGGAACTGCTTTGTTAAATTGTGTTCAGTTCTGTTACACAGTGCAATGCCCTTTGTTGGGGGTATGCATGTATGAACACACATGCTTGTTGGAATGCTTTCCTCAGCGTTTGTCCCTGGCTCCCATCTCCCCATTCCTGTGCCTACTTTGCCTGAGTTCTTCTACCCCTGCAGTTGCCAGCTGCATTGGGAGTCTGTTTGTTCCAATGGGTTGGGCTGTCTTTGTCGTGGAGATCTGGAACTTTGCACATGTCACTACTGGGGAGTTGTTCCTGCTCTAGCATCCACGATGAGATGCCCTCTTTACCTACCCTCTCAATCACTACTCTTTTTGAAGCACTATTATTTATTCTTCCTCTGTCTGCCTGCAGCAGTACTACTGTCAACATAGTGTAAATGGTTCTCAAAAGCTTACCAGTGTGGACTTGGTCTGTGTCAGCCACACTTGTTTACTCATACAGTACGTGTCCTGTTTTTAAAATATAAAATTATTCTTAAAAATAAATTAAAATCTGTATACTTACATTTCAAAAAGATACAGTGTGGTGTTTCCTTTTTATCCCCAGTCACTTTTTGAGTTGGTTGGTCTGTGTGTAAAAAACAGAAACAGAAAAAACTAAAAGAACCTCCTGGAAATTTTTTTTTGAGACGGAGTCTTGCTCTGCCCAGGCTGGAGTGCTGTGGCACGATCTCGGCTCACAGCAAGCTCCGCCTCCTGGGTTCATGCCATTCTCCTGCCTCAACCTCCCGAGTAGCTGGTACTACAGGCGCCCGCCACCACGTCCGGCTAATTTTTTGCATTTTTAGTAAAGACGGGGTTTCACCTTGTTAGCCAGGATGGTCTCGATCTGACCTCATGATCCACCCACCTCGGCCTTCCAAAGTGCTGGGATTACAGGCGTGAGCCACCGCCACCGCGCCCAGCCTCCTGGAAATTTTTAGTCAGGAATGTGTTTTTTTTTTTTTTTTGAGTCTCACTCCATCGCCCAGGCTGAAGTACAGTGGCACTATTTTGGTTCCCTGCAACTTCCACCTCCCAGGTTCAAGCAATTCTCCTGCCTCAGCCTCCTGATTCGCTGGAATTACAGGCACGCATCACCACACCTGACTAATTTTTATATTTTTAGTAGAGACAGGGTTTCACCATGTTGGCCAGGCTGGTCTTGAACTCCTGACCTCAGATGATCTGCCTGCCTCCCAAAGTGCTGGGATGACAGGCGTGAGCCACCACACCTGGCAGAGTGTGATTTTTAAAACACTCTCTGGTACATTTCTAAATTAAGAATATCTCGCCGGGCGCGGTGGCTCAAGCCTGTAATCCCAGCACTTTGGGAGGCCGAGACGGGCGGATCACGAGGTCAGGAGATCGAGACCATCCTGGCTAACACGCTGAAACCCCGTCTCTACTAAAAAATACAAAAAACTAGCCGGGCGAGGTGGCGGGCGCCTGTAGTCCCAGCTACTCGGGAGGCTGAGGCAGGAGAATGGTGGGAACCCGGGAGGCGGAGCTTGCAGTGAGCTGAGATCTGGCCACTGCACTCCAGCCTGGGCAGAGCGAGACTCCGTCTTGAAAAAAAAAAAGAATATCTCTTATTCTAATTTTTTGTGAGAAATATAAAACCTAACCCCTGATGTGTAAAGAGCAAAGGGAGTCCTAGGAAGCTTCTGGCTTCAATGTCATTTGTCTCAATATGGGGAGGCTGCCCAACTTCAACAGCATTACTGAGGGAGGATGGATATAAACTGTACACATGTGAAGGGTAAGACAGAAAAACCATCACTACAGTCAAGTTAACCAAGCATATATACCCCAGAAGTTTCCTCCCACCCCTTTCTCATTCCTCCTTCCCAGCCTCACCCTGCACAGCAACCACTGATTTTTTTTTTGACATGGAGTCTCGTTCTTGCCAGGCTGGAGTGCAGTGGCGCGATCTCAACTCTGCCTCCCAGGTTCAAGGGATTCTCCTGCCTCAGCCTCCCGAGTAGCTCAGACTGCAGGCGTGTGCCACCACACCCAGTAAATTTTTGTATTTTTAGTAGAGACAGGGTTTCACTGTGTTAGCCAGGATGGTCTCGATCTCCTGACCTCATGATCCGCCCACCTCAGCCTCCCAAAGTGCTGGGATTACAGGCATGAGCCACTGTACCCGGCCCACCAATTTCTTTGTTACTACAGATTAGTTTGCATTTTCTACAGGTTTATTTATTAGGTTTATTTTTCACATCTGGCTTTTCTCCAGTTTTTGGCTATTAAAAATAAGGCTGCTATAAACATTCATATACAAGTTTTTGTATGGATATATATTTTTTTCTGGATAAATACCTAGGAGTGAAATGGCTGGATCACATCTGTGGTAGGTAAACACTTAACTTTTTAAGAAATGCCAAACTGGGCTGGCATGGTGGCTCATGCCTGTAATCCCAGCACTTTGGGAGGCTAAGGTGGGCAGATCACAAGGTCAGGAGTTCAAGACCAGTCTGGCCAACACGGTGAAACCCCCGTCTCTACTAAAAATACAAAAATTAGCTGGGTGTGGTGGCACACACCTGTAAGCTCAGCTATTCAGGAGGCTGAGGCAGGAGAATTGCTTGAACTCAGGAGGTGGAGGTTGCAGTGAGCCAAGACTGTGCCACTGCACTCCAGCCTGGGCAACAGAGCAAGACTCCATCTCAAAGAAAAAAGAAATGCCAAACTGTTTGCCAAAGCAGTTGTACCATTTTACATGCCTGCCAAAGCAGTTGTACCATTGTACATTCCTACCAGTAATGTATGAAGGTTCCAATTTCTCCACATCTTCACCAACAGTTGGTATGTTCAGCCTTTATATAATTCTAGTTATTCTGTGTATGAAGTGGTGTCTCACTATTGTTTTCATTTACAATTCCCTAATGACTAATGATGTAGAGCATCTTTTCATATGCTTATTTGCCATCCTTTTGTCATCTTTGTTGACTTCTGTCCATTTTAAAAAATGGCTTGGCTGGGCGTGATGGCTCATGCCTATAATCCTAGTACTTTGGGAGGCTAAGGCAAGTGGATCGCATGAGCCCAGCAGTTTGAGACCAGCCTGGGCAACATGGCACAACCCCATCTCTACTAAAAATACAAAAAACTAGCCAGATGTGGTGGCACGTGCCTGTAGCCCCAGCTACCCGGGAGGATGGCTTAAACCCAGGAGGTGGAGGCTGTACTCCAGCCTGGGCAACAAAGAGACCCTGTCCAAAAAAAAAACAACAAAACCTACAATGAAACCCACTTCATACCCATTAGGATGGCTATTAACCAACAAATAGAAAACAAGTATAGATGTGGAGAAATTAGGATTCGTGTACACTTCTAGTGGGAATGTAAAATGATGCAGCCTCTGTGGGAAACAGTAGGGCAGTTCCTCAAAAAAAATTAGAATTACCACACAAGCAATTCCATTCTGGGTATATATCCAAAAGAACTGAAAGCAGAGACTCAAAGTTGTACACCCATGTTCACAGCAGCATTATTCACTGTAGTGAACAACTCAACTATCCACCAATGCACGGATGAATAAAATGCAGCACACACGTACAACAGAATCTTAGCCTTTAAAAGGCAGGAAGTCCGGATACATAAGCTACATCATGGATGAACTTGGAGGACATGCTGCCAAGTGAAATAAGCCAGTCATGAAAAGACAAATACTATGGGATTACACTTACATGAGGCACTTACAGTAGTCATAGAAACAGAAGGTTAGGACTGTGGTTGCCAGGGGCTGGGGAAGGGGAGACTGGGGAGTTAAGTGTTTAATGTGCAAGAGTCTCAGCATGGAATGATGAAAAAGTTCTGGAAATGCATAGTGACGGTTGCCGCACAGTAAATGCATATGTCACTGAACTATGTACTTAAAAATGGTTAAAAAAAATTTTCTTTTATTGAACATACATTTTATGTTCAGTATATTTTACCACAATAAAAAAGAGAAAAAAAACTTAAAGACCCCATGGGTGGGAAACATTTGCTAAACCACAGACACACACATGCAGAAATACAATTTAACCATAAAGAAAACTACTGATGTTAAACTTACTTTATCAAAATAAGTTAATACTTGTAAAGCACTTTGAGCCTTACCTGCCATGGAGTAAGCATCACCTAAGTATCAAACAAAAATTGGTAATACCAGGAGAGACTGAAACAACAAACTACATGGTAGCAGAAGATGCTCTGAATACTAACTCTCAAAAGACTTGGATCTGAAATATCCAAAAGAAAAATCACTAAGGAAAATACAGAACATTTTGAAAGGCCAGAAAACTTGAACAGGCACTTCACAACAGAAAAACTCCAAATGGCCAAGAAACATATGAACTCTTCACCTCAAGCAATCACCCCACTTAGCCTCCCAAAGTGCTGGGACTACAGGTGTGAGCCACCATGCCAGCCATCCAATACACAAATGAAAAGCTACTCAACCTCATCAGTATTCAGGGAAATGCAAATTAAAACCAGTGTGCATCTACCTGACATTTCAGCCACAGTAGACACCACCCTGCTGGTGGAAAACAGTTATCTAGTAAAATTAAAGGTCTCTCTTGACTTAGCAATTCAACTCAATGTTCTGCAAAGGAACCTGTGCACGTGTGCAGAAGACTGCTCAAAAGTATTATGTGGAATGACCAAAATCAGAAACAAAATGACCATCAACAAAACCGTATCACTTGAGGTATTATTCATACAATGGAACACCATATAGCATTAAAAATGAAAGAACTCCAGGACCCAACAAGGATGGATCACACAACGCTGAGTGACAAAAACGACACAAAAGCGCATATACAGGTTTCCATTTATCTAATACTCAAAAGCAAACACAACTATGTTGTATAAGGATGCATGCAAGGCTGAGAAAATTCAAACGAAAGCAGGAAAGTGACTGACAAAGGAAGATGACCTGGAATGTGCCCCAATCTCAGCTACACATCAAATTACCTGGGGTGAGGTGGGCGGAGCTTTGAATCTACCAGTATCTAGGCCACACACTCAGAGGCTCTGATTTCATTGTTTCATTGATTTCATTGTTTCATTGATGCTGATCTTAGGCAGCAGAGTTTTCAACTTTCTCCAGGTGTTTCTAAAGTGCAGACAATTTTAGGATGGTGCTTGAGGGTGAAAGGCAGGACTGTGATGGGAAGGGGCAAATACGGGGCCCTTGGGGTGCAGGCAATGGTTTTCCTTGACCTGAATGGGGGGTTTCACAGGTGTTGTATATACATAATACATACACACGTCAGCTCTTCCCTTTCTCCACGGCATACACGTAGGTGTTCCAGGGCCCACAGGTGACAGCCTTTACTTGGAGTTGCTTATCTACAAAGTATTCCACACGGCGGGGCCAATCCAAGCTGGTGGTGTCCTCGTGGCCCAGCTGTCCATATTTACCTAAAGTGAAACCAGCCCCTTTGCCATAGTTTCCACTGGGTCTTGCTGCTTCTTTCCCTCCAGGAAGGGGCCCAGACTATCAAATGAGGTTCTGGGATTATGCCCCACTGCTCTGTGACTCCAGGAGACCCAGAGCAAGGCAAACTTGGGTATCCCCAAGAGGCTAGTGGCGACCAGCCACTCCAGGCAAGGTGCTCCTCCAGACTTCCCTGCTACCCAAGCTAAGATGTTCAGAGCACACATTTCCATCATACCTTTTTATCCACCCAGTGTCACATCCACAAAAAGCTGCTTTGTAAATGCTGGTTGGATAGTCCCTTAAGACAGTCTTTCAGAGAGGTAGGCAGGTGGTACCGATATCCTCTCCATGTCTCCCCTGTCTGGTCTCGGACTGAGTGTGCCTACGTCTGTTCCAACCCCAGGGAGGGAGCAGTCCTGGTCCTCCCAGTGACTTGGCCGAGGCCCCTGCTTCCTCTAGTCTTGGTGGCTCTGTCACCTGCCCTATACTCCCAGGTCTTTCTTCCCCTTGGTTTCATGGTCACAAAAACAATCCTTTTACTTACCCCAGCCCCAGGTGTAGAGCTCCCCTGTTCCTGAAAGCAAAAGAACAATCAATAGTTGTCACTACTGTTCTTTGGCAAGGCATTTATCCAGCCTGGCTTGGCACAGCCCACCGCTAGCACATTACAATCGTCATGAGGTGTGCCTGGCGTAGAACAACATATTCTCAACAACTGGCTGATCACGTGGCATGGCAAAGGATCCCAACGGAAAAAGTGGCAGATCTTCCTGTGTGCCCCAACTACCGAGCGCCACAGTCTTCCTCCATGCTGGACCGGACAGACCCTGCTGTCAGAGGTGGCGGCGGGCAGGGAATGTGTCTGTGGCCATGTACGGAGGACAGAGAGCATCACCCTCCCACCAGAAGGAAGAATCTTCTGAGCTTGACAGGCTGGGGAACTACTGTGAAACAACACGGGGGTTGGGGCTTATCCACTGAGCAAGGTAGCTGCTCTGTATGAGCCACAGAAGCCTTATAACAGAAGTTTTTCCGTCAGCCACACCCCTTCCCACAGCAGCTCGAGGGGCGTGGAGTGCCTTCCTGCTCCATCCTAAACCAGCCTCCTAGCCCCACTCACGTGTCACCACAGCTGTGTGCCGGGATCCACAGCTGACCTTGACTGCATCTGAGCCCAAGGGGAGATCCAGTAATGCTGGGAAGGGCTGGACGGCTATGAAGGGGGCAGGGGCTCCATCCTCAACCCGGCCCGTTCTCTTCACCTGAGAACCATCTTCATTCAGTCCTGTGGCTTTAGAATTATAGTAATAATGATGTGAACGCCAACTGAGACCTGAGCTAAACCTTATTCACGCTGTCACTTATTACCACAACAGCTCTGAGGCACATGACTGTCTAGCTCCAAATCTGGTGCTCCCAACCCCTACATTCTACAGGCAGGGTTGGCACTACCGCACAAGTGTGTTGTGCCAAGACCGGCATCAGCCTTGCCAATGCTCCCTCCCGTAAGGGGCTCACATGCTCCATCTGAGCAGTGTAGCTCTGAGGCCAGCATACAGCCAGGAGTTAGGAATGACAGCCACATCCTGGGGAGACAGCTGTGGGAGCCGAGTTGACCCTCACCTTCCCTTGCGACAGTCTCTCCATCCTCTGCCAGGTTCCTGGTGGGCAGGGCCAGCTGCCCCGATTCATTCCAGCCCCAGATATAAATATCCCCAGTCTCTGAAAGACATCAAGGGGACACGTGAAGCAGACTGTGAACCCCCTGCATACATCCAAACTCCCTTCCCCATCCCACCCGCTCATGGGGACAACTAAAGCCTGCCCTGCCCAAGGCGGCACTCCAGGCCAAGGTGCTTCCTCTCAGGCCCCAGGGTCTTGTCTTAGGTTCCCATCTCCCTCAATGCCTTCAGATCACCCTTTAAGGCCCTTAGTGGACCTTCCACTTCCATTCTTATGCTGCCAAATTGCCCTGCATTTTAGAAACGTATCCCTGTAAGTGCCACAGTGGTCTCCCTTTCAAAACCACAGGGCCAGGGCCAGGGCCAGGTGTGGTGGCGCATGCCTGTAACCCAGCACTTTGGGAGGTTCAGATGGGTGGATCACTTGAGCTCAAAAGTTCCAGACTAGCCTCAGCAATATGGCAAAATCCCTCTAAATAAATAAATAAAACCACCACTGGGCCGGCCTGTGCCCCTTTTTCAACTGCACCCGCAGCGGTCCTGTTGAAAGCCATGTACAGCTCTCCCCTTCCTGGCCTCCCACAACACTAGAGCTTTTTGGTTGGAACAGCTGCCTAATTCTAAAAATTTCTAATAGCTGATTTTATGAAGTGCTTAATCCATGCTGATGTTTCATGTGCTTTTCAAATATAATCACTTAATTCTCACAATGGCCCTACAGGTAGTTTTATGACAGTATCGCCATTTACGCAGGATCCCTATTTTATTCACGACACAGAGGGGTTAAGTACCAGGCCCAAGGTCCCAGGGCCCCAGCAATGATCTGAAACTAGGAAGTCTGGCGGGATGCGTCCATGCTTCAATCTCTACACTAAAGGCCTCAAACTCCTTCTGGGCCTTGAGTGCAGGGCATCTCAGTGGGTTGTTTCCAGCCCTCTGGTCTCTCTTCTCTCCAGCCCAGGGTTTGTTTGTTTTTTTCTTTGAGACAGTCTCACTCTGTCACCCAGACTGGAGTGCAGTGGCATGATCTTCGCTCACTGCAACCTCCGCTCACAGGTCAAGTGATCCTCCAGCCTCAGCCTCCCGAGTAGCTGGGGACCACAGGCACGAGCCACCACGTCCAGCTCATTTTCATATTTTGGTACAAAGATGAGGTTTTGCCATGGTGGCCAGGCTCAGCCCACGGTTTCCTGAGCTTGGCAACCAGCCCAGGCTGGTTCCATGAGAATATGGTGCCAGGGAAGGCATTGGTTTTTTTTTTGTTTTTTTTTTTGAGACTGAGTCTCACTCTGTTGCCCAAGCTGGAGTGTAATGGCATGATCTCGGCTCACTGCAACCTCCACCTCCCGCGTTCAAGCAATTCTCTTGCCTCAGCCTCCTGAGTAGCTGGGACTACAGGCACATGCCACCACGCCCAGCTAATTTTTGTATGTTTAGTAGAGATGGGGTTTCACCATGTTGGCCAGGATGGTCTCCATCTCCTGACCTTGTGATCTATCCGCCTTGGCCTCCCAAAGTGCTGGGATTACAGGCATGAACCACCGCACCCAGCAGGCACTGGTAGTTTTTTGTTTTTGTTTGAGACAGAGTCTCACTCTGTCGCCCAGGCTGGAGTGCAGTGGCACGATCTCGGCTCACTGCAACCTCCACTTCCCAGGTTCAAACGATTCTCCTGCCTCAGCCTCCCGAGTAGCTGGGACTACAGGTGCGCACCACTGTGCCCAGCTAATTTTGTATTTTTTTTTTTTTGAGACGGGGTTTCACCATGTTGGTCAGGCTGGTCTCGAACTCCTGATCTCGCGATCCGCTCTCCTTGGCCTCCCAAAGTGCTGGGATTACAGGCGTGAGCCCCTACGCCCGGCCCCCCTGGCATTGGTAGCTTTTTAAGATTCCAGGTAATCTAAGTAGCAGCCAGAATTGAGCGCCCCGGACACAGGCAAAGATCATCTGTTCCCAGCCTCATCCTCTCTGCATGGACTCTTAACAGCCTAGGAAGGAGCTGTACCTGGATCACCAAGTGAAACTCCTCACTCCGGCCAGCTGTGGCACCACCACATGGACACACTCATCACCATCCTGGTACCTGCTGGGCACCCCAGTGTCCACTCTGTGCCACATGTCATGGTCCCCTAGGCAACTGCAGCTTTCTCCCTTCTCCTTGGCTCAGCTGCCCCTTCACACTCCATACTCCCTCAGGAGCACTGTTAAAAGACAGTCCTCACTGGTAGCAGGTGGGGAGAGGAGAGGAGGGGCAGTGAGACCAGCAACAGAGAAGCTAGGAACAAACTTCAGAGTCCAGGTATGAGTGGGCGATGGTGCAAGCAGAGGAGGCCGAGGATGAGAGGTATTTAGGAGTCATAACTGACTGGCGATGGATGGATGAATTTGGAAGGAGGCCTGGGTAGGCCACCTACCCAAACTGGAAAACGAGGAGGAAGGTTTGCACAAGATCATGAGCTCGTCTGGAGAAGCACTAAGTCACTCACCACTCACACACACAGAATGCCAGCCCCCTGCGGCCACCTCAGCCATGGTTAGGCCCTGCAACGCCTCCAATAGCCGTGGCTCCAGCTCTGCCTCCAGGGTCCCATGGCCCAGCTGTCCATGCCTAAGCAAGGGAGACCCTCGTCAGCTACAGTCACATTAAGGGGACCCCCTCCGCTTGCTTCTCCAATCACCAGCCCTCACCTGCCCCCGGCCCCGCTCACCTGCCCCCGCCCCAGGAGAACACCTGACCAGCCGCGTCTAGCAGCAACGCGTGCTCGGCGCCCAGCTCCAGCTGGCGCGCCCGCAGCTCCGGAGCCAGAGGCCGGTAGAAGGGAGGCCGCGGGCTCACGTAGGCACGGGCGCAGGGCAACAGGGGTAACCTCCCAATCTGGGCCTCACCGCCCGGATCGTCTTCCTCTACGGCCTCGGGCACCACATTGTGGGCCCACAAGGGCTCCCCACGCAGCGCCGAGTCGGGCGCCCAGGCCTGCAGTAACGCCTCAGGCCCCGGCCCAGCGCGCAGCACCAGGAGGAGCCCCTCCGAGGCCCACGCGTCCCTGCAGCCGCCCGCCGCGCCGCTGGCTGAGCCCGACAGCTCCACGCGGCCTCCACCTGCCGGGCGGAGAGAGGGCTAGGGAGGGGAAGGGACAGGCACCGAGGGCCTAGAATTGGGGGCGGCGCTGGGGGCTGGTCTAGATTGGGGCAGGGTGGCCAGAATGGAGGCGGGGTCGGGGGGTGTTCCTAGGAAGGGGCCGAACTGGGGACCAACCCAGAATGTGGGGCTGGCGGCCTGAATGGGGAAGACACCCTGGACTGACCACAGCGGTGAGGGGAGGCGACTGGAGAGTGCTGCTGGAATAAGTGGGGACGGGGCGGGGAGCGCTCACGAGTCACGAAGGCGGTGTAGCTCCAGCTTGCGCTCACGCGGCAGACGTCGACGCCCGCCCGCAGAGGACTAGGGCTGTGCACCTGGTGCCCGCGTCCGGAGCCCAGCTCCTGCCCGAAGCCGCAAAAACCGAAGCCGAACCAGGCCCCTGGCCGCTCCTCCGCCATGCCCCAGCAGCGCGCTCTTCAGTCCGCCACCTGGCTGCGGCGGGCCCAGGGAGATTCTTGTAAAGAGCCCGCTAGTGGGACACTGGCAAGTCTCTGGCCTTCCAGGGGCTGGAGTTGCCTTATCTATAAAATAGCGAAACTATCATTCTCCTAACCACAAAGGCAGAGTCCGTGCCACAACGTTTCGCTGAGCAGGCGCCCTAGCTAATGCCCTACCGGATTTACAAAGATTCTCAAATATTTAGTGAGGCACTTTCCCTGTCCTCCCTTTTGGCTCAAGCTCAGCGTGCCACAAAGTGGGTACGAAGTGGCCTGTCCTTTAGGCACTGGACTAGGATCCGAGCGCCCCCGACACCCCCACCCCGTCCCGCAGCTTCCCAGCATCTGGCACTTTATCCCATGTAATCTTGGGAACCAAAATGGTCGTTTTACAGAGGCGATTCCCAGAGAAAATAACCCTTACACACTCATAGCTAGACAGAGACGGGCACAGGACTGAAATCAGGTCCCACGAACTCCACACACAGTGCTCTGCCCCTCACCCCACAGTGGAACGCAGAAGAGCGTTTGGGAGGCAGTGCCTCTGCAACTTAGCGGGGCCTTGTGACCTTGGCCAATTAACCTGAGTCCAGTTGCCTTTCTTCAGTTTACAAAGGGAAGTGGGGGCGGTGCTCTTTGAACCTACCTCACAGAAGTGTAATAAATGCAAATAAAGGGTTTGGTGCGAGTACATGCCATGATAAACACACAGTATGAGCTTACTGAAGAGAACCCCTTCCGTGTCCTCTCCCAACCTAATGGGGCCTCTGACCTTGATCTTGACCCTATGCCCTCCACCCTCTTGGACAGGTCCTTCTGGTGGGCAGCCTTGGAGGAAACGCCAAGCCGCAGAGCTGCCGCCTCCGAATAGGCCTCCCGCCCAGCGGGCGCCGACAGCCACGGGGAGAAAAGGTATGAAGGGCGTGCGACGCGAGGCGGCCAATCCCCGGCAAGGGCGGTGACGTCGCTGCCCGGGGCGCGACGGCCGCAGCCCTGTTCACCTCCCTGCGAGGGCCGCTCTGGTCCCAAGGCCTACGCCCGGTCTGTGAAATGGACTGAAACCTCCGGGAGGCGTTGGACCAAGGCAGAGGTTGGACCAGGTGGTCCCGCCCCTGCAAGAACCCGGGGGGGTAGAGTTCGGATTAGAACCGCCGAGAGGACATTCATTAAGACCCGAGCTAAAGGGTTGACGAGGAGTGACCCCCAAGACGGGCGGACCCCGCCACCCACCTCAGTCCGGGACCGCAGCAGCTCAAAACCAGACCCGCGGCGGACAGATGCCCAAACAGGAAGCAGCTTTTACCTTCCACGGATTGGCTCAGAACCCATCACGTGCCCCTGTCGAGCCAATGAGCCTCACGCTGGGCTTACCCCTCCTTGAAACAGGCTAGGGTGGTGGGCGCGGCCCAAACCGTCCTTCAACCAGGCTCAGCTGGCCACCAATCCCAACCCCCCCCAGAGCGCCCTCTCCGCAGAGGCCACAGACGACTTCCAATATAAAGACAAAAGTGTTGAAGGCCCAGCATATGGGAGTCTGTACCCTAAACGATTTATTAGGATAGTTTAATATTTTTTGAGATAGGGTCTGGCTCTGTCGCCCAGGCGACACTTCGGGAGGCTGCGCTCTTGGATCACTGCAGCCTCTGCCTCCCGAGTAGCTGGGATTACAAATGCACACCACCACACTCTGCTCATTTTTTTTTTTTTTTTTTTTTTTTGGTGTTTTTAATAAAGAAAGGGTTTTGGCCGGGCGCGGTGGCTCAAGCCTGTAATCCCAGCACTTTGGGAGGCCGAGACGGGCGGATCACGAGGTCAGGAGATCGAGACCATCCTGGCTAACACAGTGAAACCCCGTCTCTACTAAAAAATACAAAAAACTAGCCGGGCAAGGTGGCGGGCGCCTGTAGTCCCAGATACTCGGGAGGCTGAGGAAGGAGAATGGCGTGAACCCGGAAGGCGGAGTTTGCAGTGAGCTGAGATCCGGCCACTGCACTCCAGCCTGGGCAAGAGAACCAGACTCAGCCTCAAAAAAAAAAAAAAAAAAAAAGAAAGAAAGAAAGAAAGGGTTTTGCCATGTTGCCCAGGCTGGTCTCAAACCCCTGACTTCAAGTGATCCACCTGCCTGTCTCCCAAAGTGCTGGGATTACAAGCTTGAGGCACCACATCTGGTGAGTTTCTTATTGATTAGCTTCCTAGGCTTACTCTTTGTCCCTCCAATAGGATTAAGCAGCAACTCATTGGGCCCTGGTTGGGGAATCCACTGGATTCCTTCCATGGAGGTGGCTTTGCCACTGTGAAGCTCCATTGCACACTCACCCACGCCCAGCTCACACCCATACTCATCCACACTCAGAGACTCCCACCCACAGCAGCCCTCCCTGCCCAAGGACAGGGCACACAGTGGAGTTCTACACACTTTTATTGGAGGAGCAGGCCTGATAGCAGGCTCAGGCCACGCTCATAGCTGGTGAGGCTGCTGATGTGTGTGCCCTTCCGGATGCCTCAGGATCCACAGGCTGTGTTGGGATGCACCTTCCCCATTCCCAGCTGACTACAGTAGTACAGAGAAAGGGCCCCTCGCAGTGAGGTTGCAGGCAGTGCTGGCCAAGCAGGGCTGTGTGACTGAACGTGGCCGCTGACTCAGAACAGAGGACATCCTAGGGCAGCAAGCGAGGAGGGGCGAGAGTATTGGGCATGCCAGCCACCACCAGCCAAAGCTGCTTCTGTCCTTGCTCTCTGTGCCACAATAGGTAGCATGTGCATGAGCCTTGGGCCCAGGGACAGCCCCCTCACTCTCCATCTTGGTTGGGTTGGATAAGCCCATATTCCACTGCTTTGTCCAGGCAGGCTGCAGCAGCCCTTGTGACAGGGCTCTGGTCACGCTTAGCTAGCACTGACAAGATCTCCATCATCTCACTCTCCATCAGGGTGCTGGCAATCTGCCTTGAGGCCTCCACCATGTTCAGCACCACCACGGCACCCCGGTGCTGCAGCTCCTGGTTAGAACTCAGAAGCAGGGCCTGCAGGATCTCCAGCCAGTGTGTGGTCTGTGAGAAACAGGGTAGATATGACCCCCAAGCAACAGGCTCAAACTTGGCAAGGGACACACCCACACACCCTAGGACTGTCCCCTTCAGCTGCCACCATGCTGGGAGTTCCTGGTCCGTCCCCACTCCCCCACTGAGAAGAGGCACTGACCACTTGGGGAATGCGGCTGCAGAGCGTGGGCCGCATGGAGGTGAGCATGGCCAAGCCCCCGGCAGCCGCCCGCTGTAGCAGCTCATCATCCTCTCCACTGTACAGCACCAGCAGCTTCAGCCGGTCATTGCCCTGGGCTTCAAAGAGGTCCTGCACCTGTGGCCAGATGTGGGGAGTGGACCAAGTCAGCTGGGTGCAAAGCCCAGCCAGGGCACAGGTACCTCTGCATCCCCACCTGTCATGAGCACCTGGATCAACCCTTACCTCCTTGCTCATGGCCAAGTTACACATGCACTCTGTGGCTGCCCGGCGGATCATCTCATGCTCCTCAAACATGTAGCCTTCTATCATGGGCACAGCCTTCTCCTTCAGGATCTTCTGCCTGCAGGGCCACAGGAGGAAGCAGCAGGGATACAGTTTGGATGTTGTCCCTTCTAACCCTAATGTTGAACTGTAATCCCCAGTGTTAGAGGTAGGGCCTGATGGGAAGTGACTGGGTCATGGGATGGGTCCCTCATGGCTTGGTGCTGTCCTCGTGATAATGAGTTCTCATGAGATCTGGTTGTTTAAAAGTGTGTGGCATCTCGGCCGGGTGTGGTGGCTCACACCTGTAATCCCAGCACTCTAGGAGGCCGAGGCAGGCAGATGATTTGACGTCAAGAGTTCGAGACCAGCCTGGCCAACATGGTGAAACCTTGTCTCTGCTAATAATACAAAAAAAAAATTAGCTGGGCGTGGTGGTGCGCACCTGTAGTCCCAGCTACTTGGGGAGGCTGAAGCAGGAGAATCACTTGAACCCAGGAGGTGGAAGTTGCAGTGAGCCAAGATCATGCCACTGCACTCCAGCCTGGATGAAAGAGGGAGACTCCATCTCAAAAAAAAAAAAAAAAAAAGTGTGTGGCATCTCCCCCCACTGTCTCTTCCCCCTCCTTTCACCAGGTGACGTGCCTGCTCCTGCTTTGCCTTCTACTATGAGAAAAAGCTCTCTGAGGCCTCCTCAGAAGCTAAGCAAATGCTGATGCCATACTTACACAGCCTGTAGAACCATGAACCAATTAAACCTCTTTTCTTTATAAATTACCTAGTCTCAGGTATTCCTTTACAGCAATGCAAGAACAGACTAACACAGGCAGCATCATCAGAGTTTCTACATCCGCTCCACCCTTGCACCCACACCCTCATGCAATCAAGTCCTGGGCTGAGGATTTCTCTTGGCAATGTCCAAGGACCCTCTTGCACCAGACAGGAACTACAGTGCTTCTTAGCCTTCTAACCAGGCCTGGGAAATAGCATAGGATTGTGGAAAATACTCAAAATTAGGAGGCAGAAGACCAGAGTGGTTGTGATGGTAAGGCTAACGCCTAACATTTGAGGGTTTTTGCTTTTGTGTTTTTTTGAGGCAGGATCTCACTCTGTCACCCTGGAGTACAGTGGCTGGAGTACAGTGGCATGGTCACAGCTCACTGCTGTAGCATTGATCCCCCAGGCTCAAGTGATCCTCCTGCCTCAGCCTCTCTAGTAGCTGGGACTATAGGTGCATGCCACCACACCTTGCTAATTTTTTTTCCAACTGTTAAGTTCAGCAGTACATGTGTAGGATGTGCAGGTTTGTTACATAAGTAACCGTGTGCCATGGTGGTTTACTGCACAGATCATCCCATCACCCAGGTATTAAAAGCCCAGCATCCATTAGCTATTGTTCCTGATGTTCTCCTTAATTTCTTTTTTAAATAGGGACGAGGTATTACTACATTGCTCAGACTGGCTTGAACGTCTGGGCTCCAGTGATCCTCCTGCCTCATCCTCCCAAAGTGTCGAGATTACAGGCGTGAGCCACCGTGCCCGGCCTCATCTGAGTACTTACCCTGACCAGGCACCTGGATCATCTTACTTAATCCTCACCATGGCCCTACGGTAAAGGTACTAGTGTGATCATCATCACTACTGTTCTGCAGAATAGGAAACGGGCTAAGTAATGAGTAATATATTCAAAGTCACAGTTAGTAATAAAACTAAAACATGCTGGCCGGGCGCAGTGGCTCATGCCTGTAATCCCAGCATTTTGGGAGGCTTAGGTGGGCAGATCACAAGGTCAGGAAATCTAGAACAGCCTGACCAACGTGGTGAAACCATGTCTCTAGAAAAATACAAAAATTAGCTGGGCGTGGTGGCGTGCGCCTATAATCCCAGCTACTCAGGAGGCTGAAGCAGGAGAATCACTTAAACCTGGGAGGTGGAGGTTGCAGTGCGCTGGGATTGTACCACTGTACTCTAGCCTGGGCAACAGAGCAACACTCCGTCTCAAAAAAAAAAAAACTAAAACATGCTGATATGGCACAATGCTAGGGGCCAGGTACCCATGTAGTAAGTACTTTTAAGTGTATTTTCTCATTTTATTCTCCTCATCACTATGCCATGAGGTAGGTACTATAATCATCCCATTTCACAGAGGGAAAAACTGAGGCAGAGCAGTTAAATAACTTGCCTGAGGTTACCCATTTGCAATCAGGGAAGCTAGGCAGTCTGACTCTAGAGTCTGCCATGCCATGCTGCCTCTCGGCCTGTCTCCTCCTCTCTAATGATGCAGAGGAGTCACTGTGAGGCTCACAGAAGCCAATGACCGAGGAGCATTTCCCACTGTGTAAACTGCTGTGGGGGATATTCCAAATCCTGATGCCTGGTCCAGGCCCTGCAATCCCAGGGGACCTTACCGGAGCCTCTCGCTGATCCCGGCCAGGTTTGTTAGGGCCATGAGCGCCTCGAAGTTCTGCAGGCCTGAGCAGTTGAGGTGCAGCAGGGAGACAAGGGGCCGGACCACCTCATAGATCTGCAACATGCACCCACCTGTCGGGTACTTGCTGCAGGCCCCACAAGCCCCACCAACCCTACGGGGAGGAGCCCACCCCTAAGAGAGTACTGCTGTCTCAGGCTGAACTCCCTGCCCCAGGGTTTGGCAAAGCTGAAACTTCCTGCTGGTCCCAAAGGGGAGCTACAGCCCAGCCCACAGGCCATCAGGGACAGAAGGAGAAGAAAGGACGGGGCAGGAAGATACG